GGTTGGGCCCTAAGACTAGTTATGCCATGGACCTAGTCACATCCTAGACCTAGTCACGCCTTGGGCCTAGTTAGGCCTCGGACCTGGTCATACCTTACGTTTGGTTGAGCTCTAGATTTGTAATGTTGCTCACCTATTGAATCTAATTTTGTCTTCCTATTACAATCAACATCATTTTGTAATGACATTTTGATTTGATTAACTAGTGATAATTTTATATAATGTAGAAATGACTGACAAAGGGTCGAGTGCAAGTAAAGGTAAAACAATTCGATTTAATTTAAAACGTGTATTTTGTCCACTTACCACATTGAACTTTTTTGTCGACTCCCTTGTATCATGGTGCCAAATCGTTATTTATTTAATAAACACGGTCACTATAAAGACTGGTTAAAATCAAAATTAATCTATATTTAAATTTTTATTGGACGATTTTAACCTTGATTATTTATATAATACCTAATTTACCTCTAGTTTCATTTATGTTCTCCATCACTCCAAGTTTTCTCTCTCATGTTCTCTCCCTCTCTCGTGAAACCCTCTCTCCCCTCTGTCCTCACCTCATCAAAATTACATCTCTCAATCCTTAATAATATTTTTCAATTAACTCTATATCTCACCTCTCTCCACCCATCTAAATTCCTCCTCTCTTTTTTTTTCTCTCTCAAAATGCTCTCTCTTCATGGCTCCTTTCCATATTCCATTGGTTCAAACCTTTCCAATTATCTCTCATTTATTGTGACCAATTTTTTTTTTCTAGTAGAGAAAAATACAATAAATTAGATAATGCAGAGTTGTGTTGGTTGCGAGAAAATGAAGCATTTGGATATGAAATTGGGACTAAGTATATTTGAGTATGACTCACGTTATTGGAAATATTTTACTTTTTTGAAAATTTATGTTTAATTCTAAAGAGGAGCAACCGTCAATCTCCTAGAAAACCAAGTTAGCTATTAATTGGATGAGAGTTTTCTTGACCTATCGATTTCCTCTCGACAACATCTTCTCAAAATGAACCGCCTTTGAGATTTCAAGTTTACAACGGTTTATATATTTTTCTTAAAATATTTTTTTAGTAATCTTATTTTAGTATTTAGTCATTGAATGTTTTGAATTATATTATTGAATTTTAAATTATACTTATATTTTAAAATATCGATCAAATATTATAGTATAATGTTTATACTATAATATTTGATAAATCTTCAACCCTTTTTAAAGTAAAATTAACATAAATATATGACAAAATAAAATTGAGATACAACGTAACAAGCACGTGTTAGAATACTAGTAATATTAATACGAAAACGTATTTGATACTTTTTAAAATTTTGAGAGACTAAGTAAATGTTAATGTTTTTAAAGAAAAAAATAAAATAAATATAACTAATGAAGGTCATAGATTAAATTTATAATTTAGCATTAAAGTATTTTTTTTCTTTAAAATTTACATACTGAATAGTTGAGTTATTAGCAACTATTATATGTGGATCAACTAAGCAATCAAACAACTTCATAGATTCCAAAATCTACATTTATAATTCACTTATATCACTTGTCTTTTTCATCCCTAGACATATTTCATGAAACAACAAGATGATCAACTCAAAAAAAAAAAAATGAAAAATGAAAAGTGTTAAATTTTTAGATATTCCATAATAATTAGCACACAAAAAAGGAAGTAGATGCCTATAGAAGGAAATCCTCACTCATGCATGGTTTTGATTGGCTCAAATTTATTTTAATGAGTAAAACAAAAAGAAGAACTAATTATGCTTCACCCCATTCACCAAATTTTGTCTGTTTCAATGAAAAAAATAATACACACATAATTAAAGCAAATAAAGTAATCATTATTATGTGGTTTTAGCCATTGAGTAATCATAATCACAAACTCATTACATAGTGAAGTTATACATAATATTGTTATAATGTTATGGGGTTTTCCCCTATTAGTTAAAAAAATAATTATTGATACAGAAAAAATTAAAATACATATATCTAGCTGTGAAAATATTAGATTAATCAATAATTATTATTAATTAATATCTCGATTAAAAATTGATTCAAATTAATTTGATAATTATTTTTTTGCTATAACTAGAAAAAAAAAAGTTTGGTAGTTTGGGATCCTATTATAAATTTTTACAAAAGAAAAAAGAAATTCTCTAATAAGAAAACATATAGGAGGAATCAAATTGATTCCTACGTAGGTGGCCATGGCTATTACATGTAGATTGAACTCATTTCTTCTTAACTCTTTTGATTTATATTGAGTCTTTGTCACCCATGATGGTTAATATCGTATTTATCTTAACCTTATCAATTTCGTCTCATATAAATATATGAATTCGTGTGTGCATGAGAATACTTTTTTTAGCCGTTCCTCGAACAAAAACTTACATGAATGTAAAAATTACAATACTTTTTAAAGTTTATGGTATAAATTGTAACAATTATCAAAATTTGAGATATAATTGTTATGAAAATTATACACTTTACCGAGTTTAAGGTAAAAAGTGATCTTTCTCCTGATAAAAACATCTCCGTCACCATATTTATAGTTAAAAGGCAAAAAAGAGTCCAACAACAACCAACGACTTAAATTCAATATTTGTAATTTTTGAAAATAATATATTTAAAATTATTTTGATTGATATATAGATATTTAGAGAAATAAAACTATCCATTTTTTATTTCCCATTTGGAAGCAAATGCATCAAACTTGTGGTTCTAATTGATTCTTCTTTTATTTTATTTTATTACAAATTGTCATGAAATATTCAATTACACTTTTCCTGTTTTGTTTGCTTCCATGGAAAATTCATTAATAAAAAAATGTGTGTGGTGGAGAAATTTCCCTTGGTGTTTTCTTTTTCTCTCTTTAAATTAAGATTTACAAGATTTGATTCACTTGCTAATTAATTTATTATTACCCAATAAGTCATTATTATTATCAGGGGCAATGGTTACTTTGAACTTGAAACAAACTTACAAAAGGCACATGGCTTGCTTTTAGAATAATAGAATTATAAAATTATAAAACAAGATTAAGAATTTGAAAAAATCAAAATTTAAGGGAAAAAAACGCAAGCTATGTATAGAATATAGACTTTGAGAGACAGGAACCTAGAGGGAACAATTATTTTGTGTCCCTCATCACTCATGCCTATTCTCTATGCTATTAATCTCTTGCCTTTTGGGTCCCAAATATGATTGAAATTGACATAAAAATAATTGAAGATTAACGTTTATCCCCTCTTTTATATTGTATAGGCTATCGGACTAAGGCATAACTTAACTGCTATCAATTTAAGTAGTTAAGTCGTCTGTCTACGAGTTTCAATCCCCATCCTCACAGGCTGTGCTAAAAAGATAAAATTGGTAAAAATTGATTTTTAATTTAAATAATATTTTGGTTCTTGTACTTTTGACTTTAATTTATTTTGGTCTCTCTACATTCAAAATATTTATTTTCATCTGTTTACTCTTAATTATGGTTCATTTTAATTTTTTGAATCACTGATTTTGATCCCTCTATTTTTAAACCTTGAGTAAAATAGTATTCAAACATTGATTTTTCGGAACGTTTTGTTGTGGGTTGTTTCTAGATTTTTAAATATAAATATTTGATTCTCTAATTTTTCATTTTTGAGGAATATTCGTAAAATATCCTACAAAATTTAGAAACAATAAAGTTGGAATCTTTTTTCATGTTGCTAACTTTTCAAAAACATAAATATGTGTTTTTATATTTATAAAATACATAATAAATATTATAAAGAAGGCAATGATTTAAAATATTTCATTTTTGAAATTTATTTATTGATTAAAATTTTCATTATTATTTAAATTGAAAATGAGAGGGAAAAAACTAAAAATTACTAATAATAATAATAAATAAATAAGTACTAAACTACTTTTTTATTTATAAAAATTTGTCAAAAAATAATAATAAGAACGTATGAACCCTCTAATTCTTTATAATCTTATTTTGATTCAACTGTTTGTATCCCCAATTGACTTTATGTTTGTACCATGAGAATTTTTAATTTTTTTTTATAATATATCCCTAATATATGAGACTATTTTTATCGTTCAAAAACTTAGTACACTTTCCAAAAAAACAAACATAATAGATAAAATTAGACAAAGTTTAGAATTTATTAGACACAAATTTGAAAGTTTAAGGATAAACATGTAACTTGCAAACATATATGTATATCAATAATATTTATCCAATTCTTCAAAAAAAATAATAATAATATTTATACAAATTAAGCTCGGACCTAAAGTTTTGGATCAACTATTGTCAATTGAAAGTCTTCAAATTCATTTTGATATCTTGACATCTCCAATACAAAGAATGAAGCCAAAAGAAGTGAAAACTGCCATAAATTTGTCTTCAAATCATGTTTGATTTCATTGTATGAAAAATACTACAGAAGGGCAAATTCACACTTCTAAGAGACGAGTTCACCATTCACATTTTGAACCGTCTTTTGAAAAGACAAGCTTAAGACAAATTTTGGTATAAAAGTTTGAACTAAAAAATTGTTATTTTATAACTCTAATTTTGGAGGGTAGTAGAAAGTAGAAAATTTTGGTATGAAATGTGAAACTAATGTTGAAATACAACACTAACTATCTAGAAGCTTCTTGGAAGTTTCTACACATTTCTCTTCTGGGTAATAGTTAGTCTTTCTAGATTGTTCTTGAAGATTGTAAATAAATATCTCAAGAAAATAATCTAGAAATATCTTAGATTTCCCTTAAGTTCCAAAAGATTCTAGAGAAATCTTTTGAATAAGAATAGATAAAGAAAGATCTAGAATATGTAAACTTTGAGAGGAGCCTAGAAAGTTCTTCTTGCTTGGACTCCAAAAATTTTTCTCTTATAAATAGGAGAGATGTCCATGTGAATCAAGTGAATTGAGTGATGAGAGTGAACCAAGTGAAGTCATTGAAGAAAGATAGAAAAGTTAGAAAGTGTGAGATATTTTCTAAATAAAAGTTTCTTTCTTCAAGTGATTGTCTATTTCCTTTTGTTAATTCATTCAACAAGTGGTATCAGAGGGGTGCTGCGCTAATTTATTCAACAACTAATTATAGTGGTTGGTAGAGAAAAGGAAAAGAGACTTGAGCCAGTCCCTAAAAGAACACAGATTGGATGATATACTAACCAGTAAGCTGAACTTTGGGATGGGCTCTTGATGGAGTTCTTCAGCTGATACTCTTGCCTTCAGAGCCTCATTCTCTTTCTTAAGCTGCAATAAGTCGAGCCACCTTACAATTTGAGAATTATATGCTTATAAAACATGGTTTTATCGATTCGAGCATAATTCAGACCATTCATTAGATAAGACATTTAACATCATTCCAAATATTGATGGTTCGATCTCCTTTACAATCGTTGAACTAAAATAATGATTTTGGTTTTTTATCTCCTTTAGATATTACAATTCAAATGTGAGTAAGATTTTTTTTTCTTTGTGAAAGTTAAGTATATTGTAAGGAAAAAAAAACAAAAAAAGCAAAGAATGTTGCAGGAAAATAGATAAACAACATAAGAAATATAACATATATCATACCTAAGAAAAAACAACTCAATTATAAAAATAAATTCTAACCGCATGAGGGTAGAAATTTGAATCTCACACTGACAACATTGTTCAAATGACAAAATGGGATAATTTAGCAATGTGACAATGAGGTAAAAAGAAAAAAAGTTGATTTTTATACAACTGTAATTAAATTAGACAAGTCCAAAATAAAATCATTAAAATCTAGACCTTCAATATTAGTTTTTAATTACTTATCGAATTTCTCAATCAAGCAAAATTTGAAAACATGTAATTTGTTCATTGCATCATTTTCTGTTTTGGAGGCATTAAGATAAATTGGGAGATTCCCCAAGAGAATTTTTGTTTTGTTTCATGTACTTAATTATTTTTTTATGATAAAAATAATCGTTTGTCATTAAATCTCATCATCCCTAATTTGTCTCTGCATATATTTAGTACAAATTTGACTTTAAATTTTGTATATGTTCCTCTTTATGCTTGTGCTTTCAAACTCTTTTTCGTACATCTAAATCTATATAAAAATAGTAAATTAATAATTAATAATTATATTACGGTTTGTTTAATTTGTCTCTTAAAGGATGAACTTCTCCATTAAAAAAAATATATATATATATATATATATATATTGTTTTCGCATTACTAAATTTCCAAAACTACCAAATTATCAACAGAAAAAAGGGAAGTTTGAGTAAACAGCTCAAACTAGGAAAAATCATTCAATAAATTAGAATATAAGGAGTCATTTGGCTCATCTTCTTTAAAAAACGTAAAACAATTTTGTTTCGCAATGTTCTCCTTATTTCTATTTTTTTTCTCATTTTTTAATAAAAATGCATGATCTCAACACTCATGAATTCAAATATAATAATACGATCTTTTTATTTATGTTTTAGAACAATTTGGAAATAGGAACAAAAATAAGAAACTTGCTTGGGTTGTTTTCAAATTTTCTATACAATTTTTAGAATATGTTCCCAAAGGAGAAATAAGAAACATACTTAATTACAAAACGCTTAGGTTTTTTTAAAAATAAATTGAAAACGAGAAACAAGAAACGAGAAGATTAACAAACAGACTTTTAGTAACTATTGTTCCTTGTTTTTTGTTTCTCGTTTTCAAGAAGTATTTCTAAAATTGTATATAAGTATTAGAAAATTATAAGTTATTTCCTAAACTATCTCTACCCTAAATATCTCCAAAATAGTATGATATTGTTCACTACAAGCATAACTGCTTTGTTTTTAGTTTCATCCAAAATGCTTCATGTCAATGAAAATGTTGTCCTTTACTTGTATACCCATGATCTTTCCGCTAACCAGTTGGTGTGGGACTTTAGTCACATTTCCAAAACTTTCAAACCAGTTGGTGTGGGACTTTAGTCACATTTCCAAAACTTTCAAATGTGTTTAATAGATCCTTGAAGTTTTAATTTTTTTCTAATAGGTCATTGAAGTTTCAATTTTGTGTCTAACATGCCTCTCAACTTAAAAAAATATATGTCTAATAAGTCTCTAAACTTTTAATTTTGTCCAAGTCCCTAAACTTTAAAAAAAATGTTTAATAAGTCCCTCAATTTTCAATAAGACCCTGATATTGGATATTTGTAAAGTAATTACAAACCTACGAGATACAAAAAAGAAAAGTCAAAGTCCTAGTAGATACGAAATTTGATCTTGCCTCTAATGTAACCATGTAATTTTTTTAAATGTCGAATAAGAAGTCGAGGAATCTACATGACAATTCTAAAATTTATGAATTTATTAGACACAAAACTGAAAGTTTAAGCTATCAGACACTTTTTAAAATTCTTTGTAATTTAACAAAAATAGTAAAAAATGTGTTATTGTATCCTGATTGACTTAAATTGCACCAAAAGAAAAAAAAAAAACTTAAAAATTTGAATCGAACAATTTTAAAAATTATGTTTCAAAGTAAAACTTTAATTTTTAAAATCAAAATAGAAATTATTTATTAAAAAAATAATGATAAATAAAAAGAAGAGGTGATTGCCAAACCTATTTTAATATTTTTCAATGATAAGAAAACTAAAACTAAAAAAAGAAACAAGAAATATGTATTACAAAGAAGCAAAAAATGAGAAGCAAAAAGACCATACAAGCCTAAGTAGTAGCCCAGGTTTGCATCCTTCTACTTTGAGAAGGATATCAACCAAGGATGAAAAACAAGAGGCTAAGATATCAATCCTATCATTTTGTTCAAATGGCAAGTTTTAGTCCCTAAACTCAAAAATATAGTCTATGTATTTTGAAAATTTTCTAATAGATCAATCTTTAAACTTTCAAATTTATATCTATTTTTTCAAATTTATATCTATTTAACCCCTGATCTAAAAAGTTCCTAATAGGTTCTCATGCTTCAAATTTTGGATCTAATATATGTACTTCGTTGGTTCGTTTAACACTCATCTAAAAAGTTTACCTCTATACTATTTAAGTATCATGTGGCGAGTTCATTTCATGTAATCCTTAAACAATAAGTTAACATGATATATAAGCATTAAACTTATAGAGTTAATGATAGAGATTTATTAAATACAAAACTAAAAGTTCCATGACTTTAAAATACACAAATAAGATAGACACAGTTTTGAAAGTTTAGAAATCTTTTAAAATATATAAACTAAATAGTATAATTATGAAAGTTTAAAAAGCCTATTTTTAAATACAGGAATCAAATATAAACAACCAAAGTTTAGGAATTTGTTAAAAAGTTTCTAAAAGTACGGGCACTAAATAAAGAGAATTTGAAAGTTTTAGGAAGCTAACTTATAATTTAACCTATTATTTATCATTATTATAGCTTTATTATCATCATATTTTGTGCTTTTGTTATTTCATTCCATTCTCCTGAAAGCTATTCATTGAAGGACCGACTATGTTTATTCTTAGACGAGAAGTTTACTTCCAAAGGGTTCGACGATTTTGACGTACCTGTCCAATGATGGTCGAGAGTTCTTCCACGGCTTTCTGCAACGAAGAAACGGTTTGTGAAGTAACATCTTCGTAGGCTGATTCCGATTCTTCGATGGAGCAAGGATCAAAAAGAATTCCCTCTTGTATAAGCAACTCCTCAAGCATTTGAACTTGCTCAAAATCCAAACTCTCCTGCAACTATACCAAATGGAGACTACATGAGAAACCAAAATGAAATGCTAATGAAATCATTCATTGCAAGATTCTGATAGGCCTCCGGTGAAGAAAGTATACTCTAGGAAAAGAAAACCGTTAGAAAGGTGGGACCGTTGTACGGATAAAAGGGCAGTGTGGGTATTTCGTAGTGGCCTGAATAGTGAGGTAGAGGAGTATCTTTTTGCCATTTTGTCTAAGACTGTGGAAGAGATACTATCTCTCTAATTCTCCCTAATACCTTCTAAATATCAGTAACAGAAATGGTGTTTCTATCATATTCTGACCTCATTAAGAAGTTTCTCGCGCAATTCACTTTTAATTGGAGTGAAAATTTCGAGCTCTTTGACACATTTATCCTCATTTGCAACACGAGGAGAAGCCTTGATATGCTTTGCCCTGATACATTGGCCAAAACGGAGAAAAGCAGAAGGTTATATGGATCTTAGGTGAAAGATATCAGCTCAGAATTTTAAGCTTCAGACTCTGAATTTAGGGAAATTGAGAGATAACGAGAAAGCTGATAGGACTTTATTGAATACTTGCATCATGTAGATATAAAATGTAACGAAATTACGAAAAAAATAAGTAAAAACAGGTATTCTTAAAAGAAAATCAATAACTTAAATACAAATTAACCTAATTCTAATAATCAGTTTCTAACACAGACAACAGTTTCATGGTTAACAGAATCACTTTTTCTTGGCCATCAAGAAGTTACTTGAGATATCATTGGCATTAGGATAAATTTCAAGAATTTTTACTTGCCAATGGCCACACGATTTTCGTTTTCTGTCAACCAAGCATTTCGGAAACAGATTGCTAAGACATACCTTGCACCAAAGCGAAGGGTTGAGAGACTTTCAGATGAATTTGAAGGACTGGGTGAGCAGCAACACAACAAAGCAGTACGTGAGTTCCCTCCCTGAAACGTGAGGAGGAAAAAATTACTAAATTTAAGCATGTAACATAAGAAGCACAGACACATCAATTTAGGTAACGTGTCCATGTTAGACACTTCAACACTTATCGAGTACTAGCTCAATAGAAGTGTGTTATACATTAGTCGTACAAAGTGAATATGGATTCGATACTTGTTAGGCACATGTCAAACACTAAGTATGAATGACTTGTTAACCATAAAAAAATAGACATAAATAGTAATATAGTACAAAATAATAAATTTTGAGAGGAAAATACATCAAACTCATTTTTTAAGTATAAAAAAGCATAAGTTTATTGACTTTGAGTTTCATTTGGTATAAAAATGATATATACTATAAAAGTGGTATATTTTAATAAACATGTCTTTTTTGTGTCTGTGTCCGTGTCCTAGATTTTTAGAAAATGACATGTCACCATGTCCGTATCATGTCGTATGAATGTCTCGCATGCGCATGGTTCTTAATGTATGGTAGGGTCGAAAGTAGAGAGGTAACCAACAAGCGCATCCTGTAGAATCCGTGTCAACTTAGAATCGCGATATGGAATGTGGTTTCCTCTGCCTGTTGATCCACATGTTAGCGCATTTATCACATTCCCGAGAGCTGAAAGCGATTTGTTGATGGTCTTGGCTTCTTCAAGAACTCTCCCCTCAGCACCAGTTTTCTCCACTTTCTCAGACCCAGCTAAGTCCACTAGATTCAATTTTCCAATTCTTACCCTATCCAAGCAATTGAAATTCAGCATGGATTACTCCTTTCAGAACTTGACAATGGAATGGGTCAAAAAGATTACCTCTTATCCTTGGTTGATTCTTGCTGGATAGTGAATATGTAAATACAGTGACTTCTACTACTGGCAATGTTCATTTCTGTCCATTTTCAGATGAAAACCGAGATTTGACCATGAAAACTTTTAAGAATATGGGAACTAAAATGTTCTTGGAAGTTGAGGAACAAAAAATCATGACAAGAAAAATAGCTGGATACGGGTCTCTCCTACTGCTCTGTTGGCGATTCCTTTCTACAATGGACAGTTAGCATTAGAAATTAAACACTGAACTATATTAGTAACAAAACTAAAAGAACGATTCATTCTCATCTTACAGATAGGGTAAGCAATGCTTCTGGAGGGTCCTTTATGGGCATCTGTAACGTGAGATAACTAAAATGCGCTAAGAAATAAAAGTAAATAACAACATAATAAATTAAATTTACAGTGAGACCAAAATAATAAGCAACTTAGATGCTGCAGCACAGAATTTAAACGATTCTGCTGATAGTTGATACAAAAACGAGTTGTATACCTTTTAAGTTCAAAGAAATACTCATCATGAACTGTTTATTATTTTCTTTGCAACCTCAGTAAAGAAAATCGTGATTTGTACATATTTTCATGCATTTGCGTACGTGAAGTGGAGAACTTAACAAGTATGGTATCAATGAAAACTTGCGCAATTGTGCTTAATAAACTTGATATGAAGATAGTGCTCGCCTCAATCACTCCATTTAACATTATCCCATGTGATTTACTCTCCTTGATTTGTACGTTGTCCCTTGATAAATCAAAAAGATCCCTGAAAATACATCAGTTTTTAGGAAGATCTTGGCTGCAAAAATCCTATATAGCATTTATAGTCTCTTTTCTTTTGCTTCTGTCATATCGATCAAGGAAAGATCCTACTAGGAGAGATTTTTATACCTCACTTTCTCCATGTAGATCTCAACCTGAAAGTGCCAAAATGGAACACGTATTGTTAAATAATCAACCATGTAAATTGGTAGTTAATTGGCTGCTATATACATAATGATAGGCCCAACAATACCATAGACAACTTGATTGAGTACTTGCTCATTTCATCAGAACATTTAGTGCATTCAAAAATTCCTTCTACCACTCTTGGAAGTAAACCCTTCTCTGCTACATCACATTCTAGTATGCCAGGCCCCTGCTTTGAGAACCACTAGAAAATATGACTATTGAGTTTAACAAGTTGACGACCCTTTCTAAATATTCTCTCATACCTCCATACTATATGTCTTTCCAGCTCCAGTCTGTCATGGAAGTAAAAAAGAGAAGTTGAAAATAGGATCGAAGTCGAATCACTAACTCATTTTCACATCCAAAGAGAATGCTATAACAATTAAGAAAAAAATAGGATATGGTTCGCAGAAACTCGAGCTTAATTATGACTCAACATTAAAAATTACTTGGAAATTTCTCTTTAACTAATCACTTACATTTTAATAGTATATATTAAGCCAGAAGACTGTCGAGATTTATGCTGCAAGAGGCATGCTAGAAATTAATTCAAAGATTTTTATATTTTTTACTTTCCTTCCAACTAGTATTTCTTTCATGAAATAAGCTTGAAGTATAATGATTTGCAAATAACAATTAAAACATCAAAATCCTGCCTTTCAGAAGATAAATAATATGTGTAATTATTCCATGTACAGATATGGATGTACGCAAGCAGGAAAATAGTTCAGATCATTCTATACTGTACTACATTTCCTAGTAGTTAAATTTTGCAGAATGCAAACAGAAGTTCAAATTTAAGTTTAGCACAAGGAATTTTGTCTCAAACAGATTCTTGACAAGAAACATGTCTCTCACCTGTCCAAAGGTGATAATTGTCCCATTAACAGCATTCAGAGCATCTGTGACATATATTAAAGCACAACATGAGAGGTAGAAACCTCCACTGCTATATGTAAAGTAACGTAACAAAGATTCATGTCCACTTTTTCAACATCTGAGAAAGCTTATATCAGATATTCAATACTTTATTAAAGAGAAATCATTTATCCACAAGAACCCTAACATTCATAAAGAAACCACCGCATTGAAGTCGTGCATCGAAGATTACGGTATACCTCGGACAATTGGCTGAGCAAGAAATCGGTAGACGTCAGCTTGCTCAGATTTCTCGTAGAACACCTTATCGAAGCTAAATGAAAATTCCTCAGCCTTCTCGTCCTACAACAGACATAGTTTACATTATCCAAGCAAGTCAAACCAATAAGAAGACAATATTTTGTAGTAGAAGAAGACCTTAAAAACGAACGTCTCAGAGTCCACACATTGAATGCACACTGCATCTCCATGATCTCGTCTCTCTTTCGAACTTAAAGGCCGGAATCGAGCGCAAACAGTTATGTTCGACATCTTCCGAACCGTACAGAATAAGTAATCGAACCTGCCACAAATACAATACAGTTTTGCTTCAGAAAATTAACCTTCGAAACTCACAGTTTTTTCAATCTGATCAAGCAAATATATGAAAAGCGCATCCAAATCGAAGATGCGAGCCTCGATTTCCCGAATCTTTATGTTTGACGCGATTTCAAGCAACCGAACAGACTGCAGAGGAATTCGTAGATTCGTAATGCATTATGGAATTCATTGAAGATAAGGAGAAAAAAAAGTGAAGAACTATATGCATCTAGAGATAGAGTAGGTTGGAGTAAAATTTATGAAGCACGAAGTTCCGTTTGGTAGAAAATGGAGTTAACTATTTTGAATCATTAGTAAATTGGCTATTAGAATGCGATGATTTGGAGTAATTGAGAAGAGTTATTACCGGCTCCTTCGTACGTCTCTGGGAATTTTCTCGGGAAACAAACAAGAAATAGTAGAGAGGAGAGCGAGTAGCAAGAGACCATTGGAGCGAACGTCTGATCTTTCGTTTGTTTGGCGGGAACCACGAATTGAAGTTAGAGAGATGCTTTTCGCATTATTATTTAACAAGTGGATATTTGAATTTTCTAAAAATAAAATTAAAAAAAATAAGAAAAAAAAAGTGGAGATTTGAAAGCATAATGTGTGAATAATTAAACCTGTGTACAAATACAAATCATGCTGAATTGTTGCGAGAGATGTATTATTTGGTGCATATAGCATGCTAAAATTGTTGTGAGTTGAATAAAGCATAATGCATGAGATTACGATATAGAAAGATTTAGAAAGCATGTTGTACGATTTCGGCGTGAGTTTTGGAATCCTATAGTAAAGTGAATGGGTAAGTATAGTGGTCTCAAGTGTAAATGGTCGGAGGTTGATACGTCATCTTAAACGTAAAAGATCAATGGTCAATAAATTGCGAAGTCATCGAGGCTAAGAGTAGAACGCCAAGTTTTGTGTCGGGATCCTAGAAACAAATGGAGGGGTTGACACGTTTACAAATGGAGAGGTCGATTAGCCTTGGAGAATTGAAGAGTTGGAATGTGGTTGGAAAGAACTTGAGATAAGCTTCAAAAGGTTCGAGAGAGCGAGCAAAACTTAACGAGACTTGTACTTCAAAAGACTTGGAGGTATGTGCTTTATATTCTTGACCATGATGTCTATATAATGCAATCTGCTATTTGTGATTCGAGATACATAAATTGGGTCAAAACTGGATTTCAAACTTGATATCCGGGTTCGCTGATTCGATGATACAGAAATTGATCAAGGGATCGAGATTACTTATCTTCCACACAAACATCTGTTCAATACATTCCCACTCGCTTTCCACTCTCACACCCAACAAATACCATAAAAAACCACCTCTAAAATTCTCCCAAAAGCTTCGGGATCGCGATCGCGAACCCATTCCTTTTGTCGCCGATGTCAAGGGATTAAAGGACCCAACTGAGGCACTGTCTCTCTTCGAGGATTACCATGAAAGGGGCTTCAAACACCACTATCCTTCCTACTCTTCTCTCGTCTACAAGCTCGCACGCTCTCGAAGATTTGAAGCCATCGACGCGATTCTCGGCCATCTACAGGACAGGAACATTCGCTGCGGTGAGACCCTTTTTGTTGCTTTGATTCAACATTATGGGAAAGCCCATTTGGTTTCGAAAGCTGTTGAGCTCTTCCATCGAATGCCTTCGTTTAATTGCTTTCGATCTCTACAGTCCTTTAATGTTTTGCTTAATACACTTGTTGATTGTGGCCATTTTTCTGAAGCATGTGAGACCTTCCAGCAGGCTCATGAAATGGGCTTCCGTCCTAATTCGGTGTCGTATAATATAATGATTAAGGGTTGGATCAAGAAGGGTGGGTGGGAAAATGCCTGTAACCTGTTTGATGAAATGCTTGAGAGAAGGGTGCAGCCTAGTGTGGTTACATATAACAGCTTTTTGGGGGTTTTGTGTAGGAAGGGTGAAATGGACACAGCATTGAGTTTGTTTGATAACATGAATCAGAAAGGGCATCATCCAAATGCTGTTACTTATGCATTGTTGATGGAAGGTTTGTGCTTCGTAGGTAAATACAAGGAAGCCAAGAAGTTGATGTTTGATATGGAGTTTCATGGTTGTAAACCGCAGCCCCTGAACTATGGCGTTTTAATGACGCATCTTGGAAAGATGGGGAACATTGACGAGGCGGAATCTTTGATTAATGAGATGAAGAAGAGACGGTTGAGGGCCGATGTTGTGACTTACAATATTCTTGTGAATTACCTGTGCAAGGAAGGGAGGGTGGGGGATGCTTATAAGATTTTGATTAAGATGCGAGTAGGAGGCTGCAATCCGAATGCAGCAACGTATAGGATGATGGTTGATGGATTTTGTAATGAAGGGGACTTTGATGGGGCTATGAAGGTTTTGAATGCAATGTTAATGAGCGGGCATTGTCCTCGTTTGCAAACTTTTGTTTGTTTAGTTGTTGGCCTATTGAAAGGGGAAAACAGTGATTATGCTTGCTTTGTGTTGGAGGAGATGGAAAAGAGACAAATGAAGGTGGATGCTGAGACTTGGAAAATTTTAGTTATGGATGCTTGCGGCCCAGATGGTGAAATAGGCAGCCATATAAATGAGTTGATTTCCTCGCACTGAATCTGCAATGAAAAATATGGAAAACAACATCATTTTTGGTTTCTTCTGTGTTGAAATACAGACCAACGTGGGAGGAATGATGGATAGCAAAGCTCGAGTATGGCTTCGCCTGCTTTTAGTGCTATTTAGCTCTAGGCTTTTGAGTTGTTTGTGAGATATTCGGCGCGCAAGAGATTGATGTTCTATGATGGTGGATTTTCTTTTGAATCCTCTGTTTGAGATAAGGAAAAAGTTCTGAGGCATCCTTTTTTTTCTTTGCTATCCGGTGGGGTATTTGGTTTAAGAGGAATGATAGAACTTTTAGAGGGATTGAGTACTGTTAGATTTAACACCTTTTGTTGTGGGCATTAGTTTCTCTGATATTGTTTTGTAATTATCAGCTATATCTTATAAAAGTCAGTGGACAAGGAAAGTTAAGAAGCTAAAAATCTTAGGCTTTGTATATTTTGTAGGAAAGAGCATTTTAACTTTGAATAAAGGTGGTGATGTGCAGTAATTAAAGTTATGGATATGTTTATGCAATATGTTATTGTTCTGATAGTGTTTGCGTTCTTTCATCGTATGGGTGCAATCAACAACTCTGCTCAAGTATGGCTAATGTTAAGGGATCAAATCATGTGTATATCAATCAACAATCACCCGTTCGATAAATATATATACACGAATTTGGTAAAGCATTCACCTGTCGGTTGTACATCGACCTGTCGGGAAACTCGAAACTCTCCCCCTGCAAGCGTCAGACGACAAGTTTGAAATCTTAATGCAGGCAAGGCATATCTTGTTGTGAGCTCAACTTATCAATGATGATGTATTCTCTTATTGTAGGAAGAATTATTTTTGTTTGCTCTTTTTTCTTTTCATTTTTCAAAGTATATCCAAGATGAAGTGTGGAGGTTTCGATTTAATGAAAATGTGGATAGGAGATGCAAATTTTTTAAAACAAAAATATGAAAGTCATGGAAATTGTTTGAATCACGTTAGTTATGTCCCAATTAGATTGTAATTTACCATTTTTAATCATCATATATCATTGAAAAAGAGTTTTTTTTTTTTTTCCTTGAGTTTTCAGTTTAGTTTTCATTTAGTCCTATTATGAAAGTTTCAATATGTTCTTTGTTCGTCCATGTGATAATAGAATTGTYCGCGCCCAAGGGACAGCTAAGGAGATGTCGATTTCGAGTTAAGAAAGAAAAACCCTAAGCCAAAATATTTATCTTAAATAAATATTTGATTATAGATTCAATCTATTTTATATTCTACGATTAAATAAGATAGTACATTGATGATAGTGACTTTTAAATAGGAAATTTAATCTATTTATATTTTACAACTAAATAAGATAGTACATCGAAATCGATGATAATGACTTTTAAATAGGAATTTTTTTTATTCGAACATCTGATATTTGAAAATGTGGATAATATCTCATCTGTTGAATTATACTCATCTCGAATAATAGATCTATTTTTAATGACCCCAAAATGATATTAAATTTTTTAATTATATTTTCAATTTAATAACTTATATTCATCAATCTCAAAATTATTTCACTAAAATCCTTACATTGCAATCCCATGTATAGGAAAGGAATGTCCTATGTTCACAATTATAACCATAGTAGTATTTAAGTTGGCTCTTCCCAAGTAGTTCATAGTTATATGGTTAGGTTAAAAATCCTTTTTACATCTATGATTATGATTATATTTAACCATAGTAGTATTTAAGTTGGCTCTTCCCAAGTAGTTCATATATTATGATTATATATATATATATATATATATATATATATATATATATACACACACACCCCGACACCCCGATGTTTAAATCTCAAACTAGTACTTGAAATAAATGTTTATCTATTTTTCATATAGGGAAGAAATTATGAGTTTTATTTTGTAAGATTATGTTACCATCTCTTTATTTAATCATGCCTTTTGAATTGTAGGCATATAAAATAAAATAAAAAGTCATTTTCACTCATATAAATTAGGAAAAAATAAAACCTTATTCCAATTATTCGATTTTTTCATATTTTGCACATAGTTTACAATCTTTTCCATCTAAAAGAGGGTGAGCTAGCTATTCAAACAATGTAATGTCTTAAAAATCAAATATCATGGAGTTTAAATATCTAAGATTTAAATAATTGGCATAATATGTTCTTGAATATGTCAATATCCGTATTTGTTTTAAGTTTTATTCATTTCAATTAGTTGAATATAAAATATTGAAATACTATTAATAAATTATTGAATTCTTTAAACTTAATTTCAATTTATATTATTTACTATAATATATTTAATAATGGATCAATTCATTAAAACTAATATAAATATTTGAAATTGTCTTTAAAATAATTAATGGAAAATAATACTAAATATAATTTTTTTAAAATATATATTTAAATTAATTAAAATATTTATATTAGATAATTTACTTATTTAAGTTAATGCAATTAAATCTAATTTAGATATTTCCCTCACCTTTTACAAGTCATTTCTTAGGAATAAACTCTCATCTCAAGGACAATAAATTCTACCGTTCTTGCCTTCATGGGCAAGATTTCTATAGCAAATAGTGTAAAACCTTGAATCACAGAGAGTTGAATCTACATTTCAATATAGTTTCAAGTATAAAATTTTGATTTGAGAGCTTACCAGAAAGCCATGGGAGGACGCTATCCGCAAAGCTTTTTTGATAACCACTTGTTTCGTGTCGCGACATCCATGGCAACGAACATCTTGGCCTTCCTCTCATCTTCTAAAAGTTTACAAATTTTGATTTGAGAGATTACCAGAAAGCCATGGCCATGGGAGGACGCTATCCGCAAAGCTTTTTTGATAACCACTTGTTTCGTGTCGCAACATCCATGGTGACGAACATCTTGGCCTTCCTCTCATCTTCTAAAAGTTTACAAGCTTCCAGAAATAACTCATCATCCATGTATGGAACACTTTGGAGTGCAGAAACAAGATTTTCTATTGAGTAATCTGCTCTATTGACCACATTTTTCACCAAACTTGCCTTATTACTGCCTACTTCCTGTATTTCTTCCTTGATTATCCTAATCTTTTTGTTGCTACCAGAAGTTGATGGGGTGGCAGATTCTAGCCTCTTTCTCTGGTAAGATATTTCACATTCCCTTTCATGGGGTTTATATTCTGTAAATGAATCACTTCTACAAATTTTCCGAGTACCGTCTTCAACCTTTACTTTTACACCAAAACTACCTAATCTTTCATCTTGAAACTCGTCATCATATATCAAGCACAAATCTTCGTACCTATCAAAGATCCTGTCTCTGCACACGTTATCACCTGCAAGCTCCTGCAGAAATAAAGAATGAAGTGAGTTGGAAATATTTAAAGCTCTGTTTGATAATAATTTCGTTTTTAAGCTTTTGTTTTTAAAAGCTACACTGGTTTCTTTCTAATTTATTTGGTATGTTTTTCACCTTTCTTTAAAACGTATTTGATCTTTTAACCAAATTCAAAAACAAAAGTAAGTTTTAGAAACTACTTGTTTTAGTTTTCAAATTTTGACTTAGATTTTAAAAACTTCTTTTGGATAACTCGTAATCAATAGCTCTTTAACTTTTTGCCCCCCTATAATAGGGACACCCACGCCCACCACAAGGTTCGGACTTAAGAAACATTAAGGATTTTTGGTATTAAGCTCACCAAAAGGTTTTAAACACAAGACCTCATGATAGGCGATACCACAATGCCTCACGCCCTTGCCGGACTGTCCTTTGGGAGCTTTAGATTTTGAAAACCTCTTAAAACATAGACAACAAAATAAAAGAAATACATATATAGAAGTAGTGTTTATAAGCTTGATTTTCAAAAACAGAGAATAAAAACAAAATGATAATCAAACGGAGTATAGGAAAACTGCACCCCAACATAACACAATTGACTTTACACTGAGGATATCAACATATTTTCAACTTCGGGGAAATGTAAAACCTGTCCAGCTGAAAAACCTCAGTTTGATGCTATGATCAATCCATCACTCAAACGTTCAGGAAAGCCATTAATCATAAGAGGGACAGGTAAATAGACAGGCACCTTAATACGCGTTTCGCAGACTTCGCCATCGGTTGCCATTGATTGGTGAATTCCACCTCTGGTCACATTTTTATGATCAACCATGTGTCGGACATCGTTATATTCGTTCATCAAGCTTAAGTAGCGACTTTCGAGGAGATCTTTGTCACAGGCGAGTCCAAATGTCTTGTTGAATGATGCAACCATCGAAGCCCAAGCATGATCTGTGAACGTAGAACCTGTCTTGTTCCCGCTACAAACTTGCTCTAGCATTAGGTCAACATAATAATTGTCCATCTGGTTCGTCCAGTCAATTATTCCCTGATAACTATCAGAAAAGAATTGCTCCTCCGCTTCATCTACAAGAAGAAGAAAAAATCAATAAGGGCAATATTAGAGGTTGTTTTCCCAGATGGAAATGACATGAAAATTATAAGAGGCTGTTATAGCAACTTGAGACCCAAAATAACCAAAGCTAAGCCATTCTAATAATGCCCTTATATCTTGTTCCATAAACAGACAATTGAAGGAAACAGTGACAGGAACTAGATTGCCGAAACACCACTAAATTATAGTCAGTGGTTAGAGAAAATAAAATACAGATGGAAGGCAGCCCAAGTAATAAGCGAAAGAGTGATTTTTTTTCCTTTTATAACATTCGAAGTCCCCCACCGACCCGTCAAACAAACTTCTGTCTCATATTAAGTCATCCATCCACAACGTGATTACTGATTAATTCACTAATCAAAGTTACCCCAGTACTGATCAGCAAATATAATCAACCTAAATAGCCTACAAAAAATAGATATGGAACAAAAAGCAAATATCAGACCACGACCAACAACCCCAAAAACCACATAAAAATCAAGCAGTATAAGTGTTCTTCTGCCTCACTAACTGCAGTAAACACCATTACTGAGTAACTGAGCTGGTAGTGGTACATGCTAAAGTAGGTTTCCTATAATAAAAAAATAAGCTAAACTTGTTTTTCCTCAAGGAGAGTGAAACCAGTCACTTGACGCTTGCAGCAATTTAAAAAATAAAATTATAGCATAATATTTGTCTATTTTAATCTCTAACGAGTGCTAATAATGAACATACAATTTTGAGCCAACCAGCAATTTGCTTGCATAAACTAAAATGTAAAGTATGCGGCATGAATTGACTTGGATTTAAGAACCGCCCATGTCCTGAAGGGAAGTAATAGGTGATAATAATTATTCAAATCTTTTCTTTACAACAAATAAGCTGGAAAGAGAGAGACCAATATTTACTTCCGGGTAACTGTCATCGGCATCCACAGCGTCAAATAAATAATGTTGATGATTTGTAGTGTTGTCGTTTCCAAATACCAAGAAGAGATCATTGAAATTTGGAAGAGCCCTATTCTTGTATGATCTTGCATCTGGATATTCCTACAAAAATCTAGGTATAAGCCTACTTCAAGAAGAAAACTTTAACGAACTTAAAAATTTTAATTAAATAAGTACCTCAATGTATGCGTCCCAGAGGTCATCTTCAGCAATTATCATCTGTAATAATTCATCCCAGACAAAGCCATTCTGATTAAGTAGGAATTTCATATCATGGAATCTTTTCCTAAGATTAAAAAACCGACTTTTTAAGACATCTACATCATGCTGAGGCCCAAACTCTGCACTGAACTTGGAAACCATATTATTCCAAGCTAGTTTGGAAAAATTTTGATCAACCATATTTCCAGTGCGAACTTGATATAACATTAGATCAATAAAGCACCTGTCCATTTGTGGTGTCCAATCAGATTTCCAGTGATAGCTATTACTAGTTCTGGAACCTTTAAAAATTGAAAACAAATAATATGTAAGGTGAAGTCCTCTAAGTTAACAAGATAAAATTCTATATTTTAACAAATAAATCGGCAGTAGACAATTGGAGGAGATTAAAGAGGACTGTGATATCTCTCGCATATTTAGTTCCTACCATTTTATATTATATACTTTTTTGAACAAGATACAAACTTTTCATTGATATATGAAAAGGAACAAAATTGTTCAAAGATACAAACCACAATCTCTCGCATATTTAGTTCCTACCATTTTATAGTATATACTAACTTTTACAAGTTCTAAAACCCACAATCAAATAAAAGTTATACAAACTCAAGTTTCTATATCTCATTATTTTACAATTGAAACATAGATTACTCAAACTCATGTTCATTAAACTAAAAAAATTTTATTTTTTCACCAGACAATGACAAAATCAAACGAAACCCTTACTTTGGACTATTTGCTATGCGTTCCCATACCACCTCCCCCCTTCCCCACCAAAAACAAAATGAAAAGATCTTCGAGATTTTGGAAGGCTCTTCGAATCATTTTTAATTGTAGTTGGATGTTTGCTACATTCACCAAGGAGAATAGACATTTACCACGTGGACACTCCACATTAATCAAAAGGCAAGCTAAAATTCTTTGGAAGAATATGCAGTGGCAATTGTATGGAATCTTTGGATTGAACTTGTTTAACGAGAAGGAAAGGGCTTTGGAAAAAGTTCTCGAATCAGCAAAGATTCATTATTCTAATTGGTGCTCTCTCAAATTCCTGTACTAATTATTCCCTAATATAATAAAGTTTAATTTTAGTCTTTTTTTTCCTTTTTTGTAAACTCCAAGGCAAGATATTAAATATCTGTCAACATGTCGACATTTCTATCGATATTACCATATATCATAGATTTGCCATTGACGTGAGGAATAAATCGACGTTTCTATACCATTGCAAAAAAGTCGATAAAAAAATATCAACAAAATATCACTAATATAGACATAATATTAATATTAATCATTTTTAACTTATTTAGAAGGAGTGAAATACTTATTTGTTAATTTAAATATCTTTTATGAATTTTTTATTTTTATAACTTTTCCATAACTTTCAACATCAACATTTCCATGAAATTGAGGCCTCGACATTTTCATTGGACATCGACATCGACATTTAAAACCTTGCTCCTAGAGATTTATAATTTTGTAAATTATGACAATGAAAAATATTGTTTCCTTTGAAAGCAAAAGGAAATTTGAGTTTGCATTTCCTACAGATCAGAACTTATTAAACAAAATGAATAAACAGGCCTACATATGAGAGGACTAATAAAAATTGATGCAAGTATTTAATCCTACAAAACAGTTTGAGTTCATAGAGTTACAAAGGGAAAGAACTCACCCTTGCCATCACCAGCGATTTCCTGATCTAATTGGTTTGGCCACTGCCCTCCATCAGGAACTGAATTTCCATAAATCAAGCACAGATCATTATAGCTAGGTATTGGACCAGTTCTGTATGATTTTGCATGTGGGTGTTCCTACAGTTATAAGGGTTAGACAGTACCAATTGGAATTGAAGTACTAGAGGCAGAAAAGTAAAAGTGATACCTTAATATATGCAGCCCAAGTGTCATTGTATGCAAATACTGAATGTCGTCTTTCATCCCACCAAAATCCTCTCTGCTTGAGAATATTTTTCAAATCATAGTATTTCTTCTCCAAACTTTTGGAATGCCTCCTAAAAGAATCTTGGTTAAATAGCAGTCCAAATTTTTCTTTGAACGAGGCAATCATGTTGGTCCACACTAGATCATCACTGTAATCAATATTCTTCACTTTACGCACAACGTCTAGCATAAGATCAATAAAATAACCATCCATTTCAAGAGACCAGTGCATGCTTGAAGAATCACTGTCAGCATGGCATTGGATGTCTTCTCCCTCTACAAGCAAGATATTTAAACAATTTAGAGATGATGACTAATCTATATAACTAATTTAAAAAGATGGCATAAAACCAGAACTTAGCCCTACTTTCAATAATATTTCATCATTCAATAAGCACCAAAATAATTCTAGCAGCAGCTGTCATAGATATATCAGACCAGTGGGTGCACAATCAATTCATTTTTTTCTGGCTAACTCTTACATAATTTGAATTTTTTTCAAAAATAAGAATTACAAGTTTGAAAGTATTCATTTTGAAATAAAAATGAATTCCAACAGGGCATTATGTAAATCTTACCAGTATCTTGAGGTAAGATGCCACATTCAAAATCATCCAATTGCTGCATATGATTACAATGCCCATTGCTCATTGTATCATCATAGATCAAACACAAATCTAGAAAATTTAGCAGGGTCCTTTTCCTGTATGCATAGGCATCTGGATTTGCCTACATTGGCAGTAATAGATATAAAATATGATATAATTGATTTATGAGTACAAATTCAAAGACAACTATATACCTTGATATAATCATCCCAAACACCATCATCGGCTACCACCATTTGTTGTTTCTCATCCCATGAAAAGCCTCTGGTCTCAAGTAGAATCCTTAAATCAGTATAGTATGTTTTCAATTTCCCATGACGATGTTTTAAGAAACTTTTCCTATGTTGATAGCCGAATTCAGCATTAAAGAGAATGATCATATCTCTCCATCCTTGCTTCTTGAAAGTACCATTTATCCTGCTGCCTTTTCTCACTTGATCCGTCATAAGTTTCACAAAGTACTGATCCATAGCAAGAGTCCAGTCTGTTCTTGAACTCTCTTTATTCACAGGGGCAAGGTCATTCATGCCAACACCTACAGCAGTAATGTTAATGACTTCAATTCACCGAGATATGATGGTTCTCTAGACATACACGCATTGCAAAGTTAAGGATGAAAATCCTGCCTTGATAACAAGAGGAAATAAATATGACACAACACAAGTGGGTCCTACTGCATCTTAGCAACTCAGTGCACCATAGTAATAGTTCTGAAATCTAGAAAGGGGTGAGGGAAATTCCCAAGATCCATCAGTTAAAACATCTTGTGCCCATTTTCTCCCTAGGAAATGCTGGACTATATCACATTCACAAAAACATACTTATATTCATCCTGCATAACAGTGCAGACTGCAGGAAGTGATGCTTGACTCTGAAAATAGGCCAAGACAGGAAATGTGTTTCAAACTTTCACATATCCACCCTTGATGTGTTGTCTGAACAAAATCTTTTTTGGAGATCTTTTATGTTTCTGCCTAATTTCCAGGTAGCAGAGATTTGTCTATCTCCGCATTGACACCTAAGTAATAAAAACATTACTAAAAACTTTTCTCCCTTTCTTTTGTAATCCATCCTCCTCAGACTCAACACTACCATAGATATTTGCTTAGAAAAGCAGGCTCCATATGTGATTTAAATCCAACAAGCAATACTTCATATTCCAACAAAAATTGCACAATACCGTAGGTCTCTTAGATACACAGAAACACACCTATACATAATCCCATCATGTCGTCATCAAAATCCAAGTCATTGCTCGAAATACTATACCTCCCATCAGCAGTAGTATGTGCATATATCAAACACAAATCATTGAAATTTATCAGAGACCTGTTCCTGTATGACTGAACATCTGGATGGGCCTGTAAATAAATAGTATCGTTCAATTTCACATCTATAATGAAGATAAGAGAAGTGTCAGTCTAAACATTACTCACCCTGATAAAGCTGTCCCAAATATTATTCTCTGCGATGACCATTTGTCTAGCATTATCCCAAGAAAATCCTTCATGCTCAAGGAGATTCCTTATGTCATTGAATTGCTTCCACAAATTAGTGTAACGACTTTTCAAGATATTAATGTCATATAGAGACCCAAATTTAGCATTGAACATCATCAGCATGTCATTCCAAGCTTGTTTGTTGAATGTATGACCCATCCTGTTGCCTTTATGCACTTGATCTAACATAAGATCGATAAAATATTGCTCCATTGCTGGTGTCCAATTTGTCCTCAGGCGATCACTGCTGAAATTGGTTTGACTAGTCATATTTTCAACCTGAAAAAAATAAAATAAAAATCAGAATCCTAGCTTTTCCCTTCAAACATAAATATCTTCAAAAGTGATCAAGTACCAATTTAGTAATCAATGCATCATTCTTAGAAATGACTTGAATGAATTTGAAACTACATCAGGATCATAGTCGGTACCAACTGAGGCATCGGTTACTATAATGTCAGCAGTAGCCGTGGCATAACCAAGGATCCTACCCAATCTTCAAAAAATAATTATGAATGCACAAACAATACAAGCCATCGAACGATAAATTGCCAAAAATCAGACAATAAGAAGTAAATGCTGCATAATAGTTGATATTCTGCTTCGTGTACCTGAAAATTTCAAAGGACAGAGTTCGTTGAGAGAGTACTCTTGTGCTAATAACGATTACTTGCTTGCTTACTTCAAGCATGAGAAAACCAGAAAACTAAATTGAGCAAAGGTCAAACAAAATCACAACTACAAACAGAACCCAAGAGGAAAGGGGAAAAGAACTACAAAAAGAACAGCAGAATTCTCATTTCTTTTCAAGTTCACTTACAAGTTAGAAGCACAAAGGTGAAAATTAAAGCTCAGAATCACCAAACCTAGATAATAACAGTGGACGGGCATTGGCAATGAAGTCAATAAAACATTTATTTCCAACAATTTCTCAGTAAATGCACAGAAGAACGGGCGAAATCTTATGATTTTGCTATAAACAGAAAGCGATTTACAGGAGCGTCTGAATCGGAGAGGGCGAGAAGGGAGATGAAAGTTGGAGAAGGAGAATAATCGAAGTCTCCGACGATTTCCGACGGTGGAGCCGCCACGAGCGGAGCCTCCGGAATGGTAGAGATGGAGAAGCATCCGGTGCAGTTCTGGCACGTGGGGATGGTGTGAATGTAATTTTTGTTGGTAGAATCGGCGTCTAACTGACAAGGTTTGAGTCTATTGTTTATGCTCGTTTTGATAATATGGGAATGTAATTAATATATTGTACTGTAAAATTGTATTTAGTATATATATAGTTTACTTGAATAAATAATGATTGTTAATAAAAATAATCGGAGATCTAAATGAGAATTTACGTATAGGTTATGGTTTTTTAAATAAAAAAAAGTAAGGTTGTAATAATGAATGAGACATATGAGAATTTGATCCCAGTGACTAACAAGTGGAGTAAGGAAAACGTCGAGAGTTTAATAAATGATTTCAACAAATAAATTGACTCGTAATTTCATTGATTTCAACAATACAAATACATTTTGTTGAATGAAACAAGACATGTGTTTTTTGTTTTACATTTAAAATATATTGTGATAATCTATGATTTTATTAATTCAATAAGTTTTTTTTTTTTTTTTTGCAGATATGATTGAAATTGTCACTATCGTAAAATCAATTATAAATATCAATAGTGAAAAAGTGATGGTGGAAGCCTGAAAAGATAGAGATTCATTTTTATATGTAAACAATTTATGGTAGACGTTATAGAGCGTTAATTTTCAATATTTGAACAAAATTTACATTTAATTTATTTTCTATGTTACTACACTGTTAAGGAATAACCAATGCCCACGTCCATTTGCTGTGTTAAAATAATAATAATAATAATAATAATAATAAACAGTAAATAATCCTGTATTTACACGTGGTAATTAACTAATTTTCTTATATGTAAATTGAAGAATAATAGAAGAAAATTAAGTGTTTCTCTAGAAGATGGAGTACTATCTGTCGAAAGTTTTTTAGATTTTTTGTTTTGAAGGAAAAATCAAGGTTTGAAAGGAAAATAGTTTTTACAAGTGTTATAGTTAGTTATCACCAAAGAAGAAGATTATAGTACACGTTTGTTATGCCATGGTTGAAGATTTTCAAATTCGAGGATCACTCCAATAAAATTATACATGATTAATTTCATATACAATATAGATAATATTTTATAATCTAACTAATATTTATAATTTTCAACAAATATGATATGCTACTTTTCATACATTAAAATACAAATTTATGTTACATTGTGAAGTTCACACGTCACATTTCTAGATTATTAGAAAACCATATGTTTAATATTTTAAAGAAGTTTACACATGCGTGATAAATAGACACTAACAATTTTTTAATCATACCCTAATGTAATAATGGTGTAAATTGAATCATTTATTAAAGTTTATGGTTTTTATTGATTCAACCGGAGGTATAAATTGATCTCTTTGAAATAAAATCAGATTGCCAACTTGAATTAGGCATATATCATTCAAAGAACCACTTATTATCAAAAGAAAAAAATAATTGAAAAAAGCACAAAGTAATAGCTTGGGCCAAGCCAAAACATTATGGCCCAATAAGGCAACGCGCGCATCAGTCTCAATTCATTTCTTCGTTCCTTAAACCCTTCCAAGTTCCAAGGCAAAACCTCTCTTCCTGTCACCATCTTGATTCTTGTTCTTGCTTTTCATGATCGGAGATCGCACCAGAGGTTTTCAGATTTGGGACTAGAAATGAATTTCAGAAGCTTTCGCGCAGTCCAAACTTTGCATCGCACGGCGCAAAATCGAGCATTTACTTCCTGGTAAGTGTTCGTTTTTAATTAATTTGATTTTTGTCTGGGTTACAGGAATGTAGAGTTGAGAGGCTGGTAATAAGGAAAATTACACTTTCGACTATTTTTCTTATTTATAATTTTGCTTGTTTGGGCACTGAGAAAGCTCGGGTAGGTAATGACCTGTCTTATGATTATTCAGCTCGTTGAAAAGTAAAACACTGATGGAATGTAGTGTTTTCTTTTTCATGTTGCTTCTTGCTGTAAGATTGTTATTGGAATCTATATTATTTACTCTCATTTTCTTTGCGACATTGTCAGGGATGTTTGTTTTTTCTTTCTTTTTTACGTAGTGAGGATTGAATATATTTCAGTTACTTATTTTGGTCTAACAATGCTATTGTTTGAAGCTCAGGCTTGCAAATTCAACAATCTATTCGTGTGGTATTACAAATGGTAAGTTTGGTGATTCTTTTAAAATAACTTTCTTACCTCACAGGCTCACACTTAGTTGCAGAAACTTAAAATTGATATGGTTTTCGGTTGGTTCAGGTAGTCAATTGGGTATTCAGAAAACTTCTTCTTTCCTCAGTAACAGTCAAACTGCGTTTCCACTACCTCGAGGACATAAAATAAGTTCTGCAGTGGTAATTTCCTGAACTTAATACGAGTTTGTAAACAATTTTTTTGTGAAAGGGTATTTGTTTTTCAAGTTCATCAAGAATCATTTTTGTTTTGTTTAGGCTGCTGAGTTATCAATCTTCTCACATGGCATTAGGTCGGTGACGACACAAGCAAAGGCCCCTCCACAAGTACGGCAAATGGTGAGTTTATCCAAACTTCTAATGAATGTAGATCACGAAAATAGCTCGATCACCAGCTTTCCTATTTTGAAAATGTTGATTGTTGCTCATTTATCCTTTCAAGTGATACTATGATATCATGTAAAAAGATAAATATGCTTATTGACACAGAGCATTTCCTCCACTCCATCAGCCACATTAGAAGGGAATGCTGGTTCAATCCAAATTCACTTTACAAGTTTAACTCATAGGAAATAAATCACCTTAGAATATTAAGATAAACGATCATTGGTTTTTACTCTCTTTTATCACTCGTACACCTTGAAGACAAAAAAGGGTGGTCTTGTTTTTTGAATTTAATCACATGTTAATCCTTTTATTTTTTTTTTTAACAAGAAACGGACCTTTCATCGATAAATGAAAAGGAACAAAAATTGTTCAAAGGGGTGAAATAAAGGGGAGGGAAGAAGAACAAATAAAAGGAATAAAGATACAACTAAGACAAAGTTAGTACAAAATAGCCTCCCAATTAGAACAAATGATGCTAGGCTAGGGGAATAGTTTGCAAAAAGATTGGAGAGGGCACACCGTGCAACTTTGATTTTGGCTATACTGAAACATTCAAAAGTTGTTCGGCTTTTCCCTTCAAAAGTTTTCTGATTACATGTAAATCGTACTCGGAAATAAGCGTTTTAAGACCGTTTACCCAAAGAAGACTTGCTTTAGGCGATAAGGAAGGATCAAATAGCAACTGAAAGTTGACGATAACACTGACTTGTCCTTTACCCAAGCAAAATTGAGCATGTTAATCCTTTTGTTAAACATCAACGAAAGAAAAACATTTACCAGATAGGACCTCCTTCAACCAAATGACTTTTTTTTCTTTTTAAAAACACGATCAACAATAATCACGAGGCAACTACAATATGAATACTTTTTGGGAAAATTAAAGCATGAGACTTACGAGAGTCAAAAAAGACTCTACCCTCACTGTGAGGGTGGAGGAGAAGAAATTTATGTTTCATAGGAAAGATTAAGGGAAGAAAATCGATATTGAGAAGATTTGTAGGGGAAAATCAATGAAAGTGAGTTTGGGGTTGGGGTTGGTGGCGTGGGTTAGAGATTATTTTGAGGCCATTGAGTCGTGCTGTGCCTAAAAGCCAAGAAGTTCTTTAGAAGTAGGCGAATGCTGGAAAAGTGCTTATTCTGTGGAGTTGCCAGTTCATCTAGTTTACTTGGGATCGGCTCTTGGAGGTTTTGGGGTTTCCTTGGCTTGTAACAAGGGAGTGTAGGGTGGTGGTGGAGAAGGTGTTGCAGTTTCCCCCTTTTATGGGATGGAGGAATCCTGATGTGGCATACTTGTTTTTTGCTATTTTGTCATATAACAACTATTAATCTCCAAGATTCAACCGATCAATCCAAAAAGAAATCAAGACTTGAACTTACCTAATTTGATTCGAATCTCGATGAACATACACTAACTAGATGAAACTCTAAAAGGGGATCCTGATCGATGACATTCTTAATCCATTATCTAAAAACATCCCAAACTCTCACAGAACCTTGTCTCCCAACTCCATAGAAATGATGATAAGGGTTTTTTTTTTTTTTTGGATTGACATGTAGAAATTTCAAATTTTGGAAAATTTGTAGAACCACTTTATGGATCATGTCGACAGCTACTACAAATTCAATTATGATGATTTTCTCTCTAAGGTCATAGTGAGAAGGCGGCATGACAATTTTGAATTTCCATGTTCTTTCCAATGAAATGACATGATTCACATTACAAGTCTAAAGAATTGATACCTTGAGAGAACTTTTTCTATGGACAAGAATGATGGACCCTTTCAACCAGTCTAGGAAAGAAACCATCCAGTGTTATTCATTCCATATTGTTCTTGTACCATGCACCTCGAATTAACCACTTCTATGAGAAGTTTTAATATCAATTTACCCCAGAAGTTTGATTTTTATGGACAAATAGCTGAATGTTAACATTATTTTAGGTTTTAGTTTCTTTCGCCATAGTTTTCATTGAAGATGAGTTGTCAAATCTTTTAGTCTTTCATATGCCGGAAAAAAATATTTTGATACTTTAGTTCTTAAACCACGCATGCAGGGAGCCCTTAAAGTATCCATGTTGAGTCCTGGATTCATATATGAACCTTATTCACCTCGTCAACCTATTCCATTTTGGCAAAGGTTAGCTGGATCCTAAATAACTACTTTTTAATGTTTGATATTATCTCTTTCTACACTCCCCTCCCATCAACCAGAAAAACATGTGCAAATCGAGCTAATTAGAGGCTATCAACTTGCTTTTTATTTAATTTCAGTTGCATTGCGAACTATTTACCACATAGTTTCACCTCACAAAAACTACCTGTGAGTAATTATTTTTAATATTTATTTTCAGTGTTTGGACATTTTTTTCTTTTTTAATAGGAAATTAGACTTCTCATTGATAAAATGAAAAGTAAGAACGCTTAATAGGAGGTTTTTTTTTCCTCTTATTGATTTGGTTGATTATCTCATGTCCTAATCTAAAATTTCATCAGTGGAAGAAAACTTTAGTTTGTCCCCACTCCCCATGTTTTTCCATACTCTAGGTGATTTGAGAGAAATTATTGGATCAAAAGCATAATATTTGTTTCAGATACAAGAACAGTCCAGTATAATATTTCATCTGGGACTGGACTTATGAGAAGTGGCTATGGTTGTGGAAAAGCTTCGATGATGTTTAAATGTATCATGGAGTACGATGCTCACTAAACAATTAGGTAAAATGGCCCAAAAAATATGTTGTGTTGTAATTTTCCTACCAAATTTCGTATTGAGAATGATATGAATTAATTTCTTGAGTCACAGGATAAATATAGATTGATAAATTTATTAGAAACAAGAAAACTTTCATTGACAAAGGACAATGTCAATCATCATTAACTATCACGAGTGGCTTATTGGTCCAAAGGGGCTATAGTAAGTTTAGAGGGAATGGTTCATACCCCATGATGGCTACCTACTTTAGAAATTAATTCTTATGTGTTTCTTGGTACTAAATGTTGTAGGGTCCGACGGCTGCCCCGCGAGATTAGTTGATGTGTGTGCAAGTTGGCTTGGACACTCACGGATAACCAAAAAAGAAAAAGACAAGGTTGATCATTATTGAGAATGAATCTTTTGGGAAATTCGTGCCAAGTTGGAGAAAATTATGACAATTTTTCCGGGAAGGGGTGTTCCATCTAAATCTCCAAGATAACACCAAAGAAATCTTTATTCATTAAAAAAGGTTGTGAAATACAAAAGATCATCCATCTAGTTATAGAGATTGCCTTCTAACCAAGTTACTGCTAAGTAATTAAATTTAAAAAAAAAAATCTGCTTAACAGACAAACCAATTACTAACTAAATCTGCTTAACAGACAAGCCAACAAGAGGCTGAAAAGTTACAGGTGAATAAGAGATGTACCAGGTTTTCTTCATTATTTCTCCACAGTCCGCAGCATGCACAAGCTAGGGGATGGAGATCAAGTTGCCACTCTTTTTTGGGAGTATGCAGCAAGTGTTCAGCCCTTCGTTCACAAAAATCTAAAGAAAAACCTTCACCTCTTTGGGATATTAGCTTTCCAGATAATATCTACAGCAGAAAGATTGATGCCATTGCTCTAGTTGAAAAGCTTGGGGATCAAGGATTTTACCATGAGAACTCCTCTTCTTTTGAGGGACCATTTTTTTTTTAATTTTTAAAAATTTTTATGATAAGAAACGGAGAATTTCATTATCAAAGAAGGGGGAAAGCAAACTCCTTAGAACCAATGATTACAAAAAAGATTTTCAATTGGCATTAAAATTCACAAAGCTGTAATTCCAAAGATCTTTATATGAGATACCATGAAGAAGCAAAAGTAAGAACAAGTTCCCAAAAACACTCAAAAAACGTTCTTTACTTTGAAGACCCTTTGATTCCTTTCAGACCAAATCCTCCATAAGGTAGGTGATACCACGTCTTGCCAAATAACAAGAGCTTCCTTTTTGAACGGGGAGCCAATGAAAAGCTGAAGTGTAGCCTCCTTACAAGTACAATACTTACGGAAGCCCCAACTCAAACCAAACTTCCAAAAAGTTTTGGACCACAGCTGCAACGAACTCACAAAATAAGGAAAGATGGTGTGAGACTCCAAATCTTTTTTTCCACAAGGCACACCAGCTTGAGGGATAGCCATATTTGGCTTTTGTTTCTGCAGCTTGTCACAAGTGTTTGACTTTTCCTGGCACAGAATCCAAAGGAAAACCTTCACCTTTTTGGGAATTTTAGAGCTCCACATGCTATGGATCAGATCAGGAGATATAGGATTGCATTAATCAGTGATTTTTGAGGTCAAGGAACTCACCGTTAAGCTCCCACACCTGCTTAAACTCCAAACTCTATAGTCTTGCCTGCATTTGGTTCAAACAAGGATATATGCTGTAGCAGACTAGTCCACTCTTCACTTTAACTTTCTGTGAGGTTTCTTTTAGTAACCAGGCTCCATGAGAGCCAAGAGGGACTCTTCAGACCACATTTGCTGGACCGTGGCTTCTTTGTGTTGGATGATTCTAAAGCTTCTTGAAAATCTGATACAAAAGTGACCGTATCCAGCCCATTCGTCAAACCAAAACTGAATGATTCTTCCATTCCCAGCATGCATTTATATCATCTGTCCACCAGACCACAACATTTAGCTATCGCAACCCAAAGGCTTTTATAGCGAGTTTGAGCACTACACCAACRGATCCACTGGTTCTTTAAACTTCCATACATGCTAGCGACCACTTTCCTCCATAAAGCATTAGGTTCTCTCATGTGTCTCCAGCCCCACTTTGTGAGCTAACTCAACTTCCTAGCTTCCAGATTGCCCACAGGCCACACCCAACCCTCATTTACAAAAGGGCAAAGAAGTCAACTTCCAGCTCACTAGATTTGAACCACCGTCATTATCCTTACCTTTCCATAAGAAGTCCCTCAAATATTTCTAAAGTCTTCTAATTATAGATTTGGGGCAAAGAAAAACGGAGAAACAGTAGAGGGGAATGCTAGACAACACCGCATTCGTCAAAGTTAGTCTTCCTAACCCAAATAATCTTTCCATTTCGACAACTTAGAGCTGACTTTTTCTTCAACAGTATCCCAGAAGCTTTTGCCTTTAAGATTTCCTCCCAGTCTTAATCCCAAATATTCCAAAGACCATTCCCCTGCCTTACACCCCCACAAATCCGCTGTGCTTCAGCAAGGTTAGATGAAAGAGCAGCCCCTATACTTACAAAATTGTTGTGTCTAAATAGATATTAAGTCAAGCCAAGTTGGTAGCCTAATAAGCCCTGTTGGCTTCTGTTAGCCTCTGTTTCTAATGACATTTATATACGTTTTTTGCCAGTTAATATTGGTGGTAGAATCTGAATGACAATCTTTAAAGAAACTGGCCCTCACCATGTGTGTGTCAACATGGAAACAAACACAGTTGTATATACATACCCAGAATTTGCTGATATTGTTAGAACTCAAGTACATAGTTGTAAAACCTATAGAATAGATGTTGTTCATGTAAGGTTGTCAATCTTGCTGATATTATCTCACTATCTCCATTTTGTAATTGAGTTACCTGCAGAGTGAACAATTTTATGCCGTTATTATTTTGGCAGCTGGAAAATGGTTGTGATGCTTGGTATACATCGATGGGACCATTTTCCCCAGCTTCTAAGTTACCTTTAATGTGTATTAAATTGTTCCTTGATTGATTTATTTTCATGTTTCTTCTCTATGCCTTTTGTTACATTAGTTAAACGACAGCTGCATAACCCAGCAAGCTGTTTATTTATCTAATTATATATTTATTGCTATTTATGGAATTTATCGTTCATGTTTTAAGGATCTTCAATGTTTCTATGTCAGATGGTTCACAAGAAGTGGTTGGAGAAGAACAAAAGATGATATCATTTTAGAGGTGAAGTTATGCCATTTCAGCCTTTGGATTTTGAGCTATTGTGCTGCAAGTTAACTTATTCATCAGTGTTCTTCTAGGGCTGCAATGTCCAATGTTCAGTCTTTGACTTCCCTCTCCCTTGGTTTCTTTCAATGCTCAGAACTTATCCCTTGATCATACCTTACTTCTGAAACAATTTCTGCCCAATATATGTTGGCAGCGTGTAAGGAAACTCCTTACTTCTTCTTGGAATTCAAATACAAAACACCAAACAAAAGTACAAACACACTAATCCAGCCAATTCGAGAGGGCCGGTTATCTCTCCACAGAGTTCAACTGAACAACATAAAACACAACAACATTAAAACATCCTACTAACTTCCCACTTTTATCCCACAACTTCCTATCTCTCTCTCCACAATCCCATATAACTAACTTACTGAGGGATTTCCATTTTTGCCCCTCCTAACATAGACATTAACAATAGGAGGTCTAACACAGCGCCTCTGAAATGAATTTATCTGCGCTGAATGATAATGTAGAGCATAACTTGTGATTGTGTGGAAGTAATAAATGCCATCAAAGTTTTATGAAGCGTATCTAATATTGGTATGATGCCTTTCTTTCCTGTAATTTAGGGAGTTTCTGTTGTTTGTTTTGCAGCTAAAAAGTGCTTATGCAATTGCAAAATTAAGAAAGAAGGGGTACTCAAAGCAAAAATTTTACGTAGAGGCAGTAAATTTATATAAAGAGGTATTCAAGATTCTCGTATCATAATATATACTGTTGTACAAAGTGCTTTATGAAATGCATTATCATTTTCTTTCTGTAAGTTGGCGGTGATATAAAAAACACGATCAAGTGTTTCAAGATAAAATGAAAACGTGTCATCTACTTCTATTTATTTTAATTACTTTTTTTTAGTACAGTATGTGGGGGTGGGGGATCGAACTCACAACCTCTTGGTTGGAGATATATGTGAATTACCATTGAGCTATCCTCACTTTGGTTATTTTAATTACTTATTTTTGCTAAAGCATTTCCATGGTTGCATCCCAGATTTCTTGTGTGAGTGAGAGAATGGATGAAGGTCGGCACTGAACTTGGTTAATTTGAGGGTTGATGTCTAATGCTAGTTGTCTTGGAGGTTCTAGTATAGTGTTAGTTCAAAAGAACTTTGTGCATTCTACGTAAATGGTTATGTGAGACTCCATTAAAGGTACTGGTACCACCTAAGGAAGCAATTACATTAAGAGAGTACCAACTAATGTTTATGAGTTTAAAGCCTTATGGTTGCTGCATCTGAGGTATGTAGGGTCAGATAGACATCTCATATGATTAATGAAACCATTGCCTTCTCATTGGACATTATTCTACTTTTTATTTGTTTTAATATTTCTGACCCTTTTTTTTGGGATAAGAAACAGAATGAAATGAACAAAAGTGGGGAGAAACAGCTTAAGGGCAGGGACCGAGGGGACCTCTAAAAAACTAACAGATTACTGCTTTCCAATCTTGCAACAATAAGGCTATACTGAAATTTCTGACCCTTGATTTATTGATTTTCACCAGATAAACACTTTGATAGCAAATGGTGACAAAACATCGTTGAGAAAAGCAGTCACAGAGAATATGTATTCAGTACGTGCACTTTCCTTTTTCTTTTCCTCTTATGACTGCTTTGAGACTGGGTATCTATTCTCTTGTCAACGTTTTCTATCAATACTTGCCCAGCTCTTATTCTGACTACACAGATTATCTTTTTTGCTAAGGAAAATTTTTATTGAATTTGTGACTGATTATACAGATTCTAACTTGTTACTTTGGTCTCACCTTCAGGCGTTAAAGAATGAAATCAAACTTAGGGAATCCAAATGGAAGAAAGTTTACTGGGAAATGATTGTACCAGTTGTTAAGATCCGCACATTACGAGCTAGAATGGCAAGTACTATAATTAACTCACATTCCTGCCTATCATGCATTTGTAAAGTTCCTCATAATAAGATTATTTATGTGATACATCTTACTGCAACCTGATTCAAATTCCAGTTCCACTTTAACTTTTGAAGTTTTTCATATTTAGAAAGGTCATCTACCCCAAGCCACAAAAGGGAAAAGGATATTCAACCTTTTCAAGTTTTTAAGTGAGAATTCATTAGAGAAAGCGGAGTTTAAAAAGAAGGGAACACAAGGCATCTACCCCAATCCACAAAGTGGAAAAGGCTATTTATCACTTAAATTTTGCCAACAGTGTTCTCTTACTATTTTCGCTCTTTGTGGTGCATTTTGAAGTGTTCCTTAACTTGGTGATTATCGATAGGAACTGTAGGCAAATACTAGTTTTCCCAAGTTCCATGAATTCTGGAGTTGTCTTGAAGTTCTGCTATGTATTTAACTTATGTGGATTTCTATTGCTGGCCCTTATTTCAGTTTTAAAGGTATTTTGGAAGCAATGGTAAGTTTGCATATAGCTTGCATCTAACCGAGATGATTAAGGTTAGTTTTTCGTTTAGTAAGAAGCTTAGGGGAGATGGAGATGGGACTTCGGACTTGTGCTAGAGCAATTTGAAAGCTTTGTAGTTCATATATATTTTTAAATGTTTACCTTAGATTCTAAATTTACTCCTGCACTATTTATTGATATTTTTTTCTTGTGGATAGGTGCCTGTATATATTTTTGTGCGGGGTTATTTTTGGTTCATGGGCTTGTATTTTTTTATTTTCTTTGTTGTTCCATTTGTTCTTAGAAGCGCTAGTCTTTTCAGAGCATTGTTTTTTCTCTCATTCGCTCTTTTTTTGGAGTTTGTTTCTTTTCAACAATGTTAATTTTCATTATTTCAAAATGATAAGTTCTTTTCTTTTTTTTTCCCTTCAAATTCCTCTTTCTAACTAGGAAATATCTCTTCCTATTACATAGGAAGTGGTTCGCAGAATTAGTTCACAAGTCTAGCTTATACAAAGGGAGATGACCACGTTTCTAGAAAACTAGAAGGTTTTCATTCCATTTTCTTATTCTGGGCTGCTATTATCTTTTGGCATATAAATAATATTGGATTTGTAAGAGGATTTAGTTGCACAATGGACACGAGTTCTCTTGAAAATACATCAAAGAAAGGAATAGATGTCTCTTTGATGATAAAGAAATAAAGCATATTGTTTCTTGGTGGGCATTGGAAAGTGGTTTTGAATATATTTCCCTGGTTTCTTATTAAAAAAAAAAAGGCATCAAAGAAAAAGAAAAGAGGGTAAACCATCATGGGATGACCCAAGTGGTCAATGAGGCCAATGTAAATAGCAAAGGACTTAGAGGGAATGGGTTCAAACCATGGTGGCCACCTACTTAGGATTTAATATCCTACGAGTTTCCTTGTCAACCAAATGTAGTAGGGTTAGGCGGGTGGCCCGTGAATAGTCGTGGTGCGCGTAAGCTGGTCCGGACACACGGATATCAAAAAAAAAAAAAAAGAAAGAAAAGAGGGTAGATTGGGAAACTAAGTAGGCCTTTGGATTTATATCTTCAAATCTAAGAACAAAACCCTTCTTGCCAAATGGATTTGGCGTTATTTGGTGGAGGATGTTGCCCTTTGACGGAAGGTGATATATGCAAAATAGGCCCATTGGGCCTCTTCTCGACCAGCTCACTGACCCGTGATATGTCTTTCTACCTTTCCAAATGAAGAAGCCCCCTTCCTATACAAGTCTACATGGAGCGAACAATACCCTAAAAAGATTAAGTTCTTTCTTTGTGAGGTTAGTTAAATACTATCAACACGCATGATAAATTGCAAAGGAGAATGCCATATATGCAAATCTCTCCCCATTAGTATGTTCTCTGTAAAGAAAATGGAGAGTCACAGGGTCATTTATTTACAACATGTATCTTCTCTATGAATTATTGGAACATAATCATTTATTCTTTTGGATGGCAAAGTCCTCTACCCTCTGAAGCTAGCAGCGCATTTACTTTCCTTCTCACGGGCCACCCTTTCAACAAGGAGAAAAAGCTTCTACGGATGCACTTTGTCTGCACGGGTTTTTGGTCCCTGTGGATGGAAAGAAATCATCGAATTTGCCAAGGCAAATAGCTCCCCTTTGATCGATTTTTTGAATCCATTGTTTCTTTGGTCATATCTTTGTGTAAATGTTCTCCATCTTTCCATCATTATAGTTTTACTGATTTGGTATCCAATTGGAGATGTTTTTTGTAACTCTCGTGGATAGGGATTTATCCCTTTTGCTCTCCCTTTTATATCTCTAATTTCATATATCAATGAAACTGTTTCTCTCTCTAAAAACAAGTTCTGTTGAAGCATGTCGGGAAAGAAGTGTTGATGAACCTTGGATAGAGGACATATTTTATCTTAGGTCTGTGCTTCATGTGCCTCAATCCAGAATTTTCAGTCTTTTTTCTTGATCCCTCTATTTTATGAATGGTTCATTTATTTATTTTGATAGACAAGAGTAATGAGATATCTAAAAGAAAAGGGGAAGGCTAAGGGAGATTATAGAAAAGCCCTTCAATTAGTCAGAAAATCAGAAATAAGAGTAATTACAAATATGCTTGGTTGCTTGCTAAGCCTACCCCAAGAAGTTGGGAAAAAAAGGACATTGTCCAAGAAAGAAAAGAGGTCTTCACTCTTTTTCTACAAAAAAAAAAGTTTGATTTCTTTCCAGCCCAGTGCACCAAAGGAACTAATGAAGTTAAGCCAAATAATTTCTGCGTTTTCCTAAAAGGATCATTGAGAAGAAGAGAAAATAGTTTATTTCAGAAATTCCTAGTCTATTTTTTTTTCCCGAACAATTAAGTTTCCAGGCAGCAGGCAGCTGTCTAATATTTCAGCCAAAGATCTATCTACAGCCATATTCACAAGATTGTTTGTCATTAATTTCAAAAGCATGACTAATATGATACCCATCCCTGAGGGATCCCCTTATAATCGTGACCCATTAGTTGAATGGTTCAAACCATCGCCAGTGGTCACAGAGTGTGTTAAGTTCTTTATTAAAGAGTGTAATTTGCATATATCCAACATGTAATTGAAAAAACTGCACTCCTGTTTGGTATAATGCTTCCACTACTTAGAAATTTAGAATGGATTGTCCAAGCCATATAATTTCTATTGCAATCTTATACCCATTCTTTTCTGTGTATACACAGATTGGTGTTGATCGAAATGACCTCGAAAAGGTTTTCATGCAGCTTACACTCGAGATTCTAGCGAAGCAGGTATACTGAAAGTTATACCTATTCTCGTTCCTATACTCTTAGCAGTTTCATACATGTACATGGAACTTCATGCGTAATTACAACTAACATCTTCTAGAAGTTGTAGTGACTAGTGAGGCCTTATAGTTATATTCTAAGTACAACTAACATCTTCTAGAAGTTGTAGTGACTAGTGAGGCCTTATAGTTATATTCTAAGAAGCACAGACACTTCAATTTGGGTAACAGGTCCATGTAGGACACTCCGACTTTTATTAAACAGTTATTAGCGCAATAGATGTGTGTCACACACTAGTTATATAAAGTGATAAAGTGAAAAAAAACACACTAGTTATTTAAAGTGAATATGGATTTGATACTTGTTAGTCATGTATAAAGCAATGACAAAATAATAAATTTTTAGAGTAAAATATATCAAACTCATTCTTTTAAGTAAAAAAAATGCATAAAATTTATCATTTTTAATGCTTTATTACTTTTAATTTTCTTCTGGTATAAAAATGATATATACTTAAAAACATTGTTTATTTTACTAAACGTGTCCTTGTCGTATCCGTGTCCTAGATTTTTATAAAATGATGTGCCACCGTATCCGTGTAGTGTCGTATCTATGTCCTTATCTTTGCTTCTAGTTATATGTTTGGTAATCTTGTAGCAGGGCTTATGTTTATGCATGATTTTCTAATTTTATGGATGATAGATCTACTGACATAGTAATGTGATTCTGGATTTTTCCTAGATAGAGCTCCTCGATGCACCTTCTTTTGTTTCGGGAAGTAACATGCGCATAAAAGCTATATTAAGGAAGTAAATATTCAATATCTTAGTTTTTCTTTTTCTCTTTCTCTTGAGGAAAACAATAGTAGTTGCAGATAGTGTAGAGCTTTCACATTGGGACAATAGTAGTAATATTAATTATTTGTAAATCTTCTTGCACATTTATATTATTACTTTTTTTATCAACTTTATTTATTTGGTGGGTAAATATATGCCATTGTAATGTTAGAAATTATTCTATTTCATCCTCCAAAATTTGTTACTCGACGGTGTTTCTATAATCTTAGAAATAGTTTTAAATATTTTATGTTTCTTCAAGTTAATTCTTCCTTAGGCCTAAAAAATGACAGTAGTTAGAAGCTTATGTGGCACAATATATAATACCACACTGTAGACCATTTAGATCTATTTTGTTTAACTGCTATTTATTTATTTATTATTAATTTTTTTTGTGAGACCCATTGGGCACAAACTGGTTTGAAGCTCATAGTTTTTACTATAAAGGACCAAATAAAATTATTCCCTAAATGGTAAACTTTTAAAAATGTGTTTTCTCTTCTTTTTATTCATAGAATTTAATTAGGAATATCAGAAGATTTAATTGATCTATAATTTTCAAACAAAACTTCTTTTTTAGCAATAAACATATTAAGATTATTGTTTCATCCATGATTTCTAGAAATCTGACCCCCGTGAAGTCTTCTAAGCTTCTCTCTTCTAATTCCATTTGTGTAGAAGTTTGAAGCATATAATTCTGAAGGCGCAGTTGTTGCGGGAGATAAATCTAAGGAGGTAAGTGTATGAACATTGTCCAAATTAATATCATATTTGCTCTCTCGTTCCTCCAATTAATGTTAGAATACCAGTTGGCATCATTGAAATCAAAATGACACTTAAAATTTTCAAGCCCCAGTAGGTACGTTCGATAATGATTTAGCTTGTAGTTTATAAAATATCATTCTAGCTTTCTCACCATTTATTTGATATTTATTTCATGTTTCTTAAAAACTACCTCTTTTTTCCTTTTTNCTCTTTTTTCCTTTTTTTTTTTTTAGTTTTAAAATTTGACTTGAATTTTAACCATCATAGGTGGTCCATTTGGTCCAAAGGAGCTAGGGCTAATTAAGAGGAAATGAGTTCAAACCCCATGATGGCCACCACCTATCTTAGGAATAGTAATTCCGGTGTATTTTCCGGCACCAAATATTGTAGGGTCAGATGGTTGTCCCGTGAGATTAGTCGAAGTACACGTAAGCAAAATAATTTGATAGGTTGGTTCTTAGCCTGTGAAGTCGAGTATGAACAACTATTTTTAGTGCCTTTTCTACCCTTAGTGTGCATTTTACCTTAAAATTGCCTTGGATTAGAAAATGAATCAAATATATAACCATTACTTGCAATAAGTGGGGGTAAGGATTTGAACTCATGACCTCTTAGATAGAGATAGATGTCAATTACCACTTAGCTAACCTTATGTTGGTAAAATATATAACCATTACTAGAATACCCTATCCTTATTTCTAGCTAATTACTCTTTTTAGCCAATTACCTTTTTTGGAGGTGATTCTTAAGTTTGAGATGAGTTTTACCAATTGATTATATTCCTACCTTTTAGTAAACACCATCAAAGTAAATGAAAATTTTCATTTCATTCCTTGATTTTTATTTCCTTGAAGTAAACAAGGCCTAACAGCTTATCATGATTCATCTATCATTTTTTATTATACGTTCTACTACTCTTTTCAGGTCCTTGTTCGCGATATATGGGTTTTTGAGAAATCTCTTTTTCATGAAGGAGCTTATTGGCGTCTCTGTGGGCGAATTCCAATTTAATGTCATCCTTCTACCACACATCAAGTAGCTTCTTTATCCATTTTTGTAGATCAACAGGTTTCTGTGTCTTTTAATAATTTTGTTACTATTTTATCATATACAATTGTGTGGTTTACTTGACTTCGCCTAAATTATAATGTTAATAGGAGAGATGTTCATAGAAACTTTCCTTTATATGATATTTAGCATCTTGTTCCTTGCTAGGGACAAGTTCCCCAATGATTATATGAATAATTCTTTTCCCTGTCCCTATTTTTTTTAGTTTGAGTTCAATAATGATTGAACAATGGACTTTTTGGGATGGTAATAAGTATCTTATTCACTAAACTAGGCTCGAATTGGCTCAAGTTTTTTAATTCATTAAAATCTTTTTTAGCTAATTAAAATTTAAGACTACATTTTTCTATTGTTTTATGGTGTTTTTTTGGTGGTTATACTTTAAATATTCCGAAATAGCACTTGATTAAATAGTACTTAAATGAGTGCCTTTCTCAAAAAACGTACTTTGGTTAGAATTACTATTCTCACAAGTCAGTGTCTTCTCCCCTATTATACTATTTTCAATTTCTTTGTTATTATTTGCATGAATCACTTACAACATTGTTTCACTGATCACAAGGATAATTTGACACATCAATGTCAGATCATTAGAATTGCTAGACGAAATTTATAGTATCTCTTAATAGTTACATATAAATGTTTGAAGGCTTATTATTGGTGTGTAAGTGAAAGCTCTTTATTTAGACCTCTGTCATAAAGACAAATGAAAAACGTTCTTTTTTCGGGTATCAAAACTGTAACGTGGTTATTACGGGTGTTGGAGAAAAATGTAATTTCCATGCTTTGAATTGGGATCTTTTGGAAGTCAGTCTTGCCTTTGTTTTGAAGTAATGCCATATGATATATTACTATTGAACTGCTTTTACTCTTCTTATAGGAGAGAGAGAGATAGATTAAGAGGAAAACAAACTCTTTGGAGCTAAGGTTGCATCCTTTCAAGGTAAGAATTATTCTTTATTACATATACAATAATCTCCATCAAGTAAAGTATATATGCATTTGGTACATTTTTTCATCCAAAATTTCTCCACTCTCTCCAACCTATTCACGCAACCCTTCCTTTTAATCTAACACGCCTTCCCTCCAAAGCATTCAAATGGATAATGGAGAATGCAAGTTTCAACTTTTCGACATCTGCTACCGTCTTTTCCATTTCCTTATGAAAATCCTATCATCTAAAGCCCAAGAAACTGTTACTCTTGGAGGCTCAAGGTCGTCTGAATCGAATGCTTCAACTCTAGAGGTTGGTTTGTGCAGTCATCATGATGAAAATCAAGACAATTCGAGTCAAGAATCCACGGCTAAGTTGAATTCAGATCATCCTATTTCGTCTCTTACAAATGATCATCAAGAAGGACGAAAGGAGCTCCATTCCATTGAAGAAAATGGTTCTCCACGTATTGAAGATAAGAATGATTCGAATGGCAATGCTACACAAAAAGTAGAAGAGGAGGGGGTACCATTACCTTCTGCAACAAAAGGACCTCCAAAGAAAATTGTTAGTATCAAAGAAACCGTTGAGGATATAAATTCTATTATGCTGCAAAGGAGGAAGAGCAAAGGAACCAAGAAGTCGAAATCCTTCGATTTCGATAATGGATATGATGGTTCTTTAAAGCCTTCTCGGTCGATTCTCAAGGTGGGCTCTAATATAAACGACAAATCGGATATGTTAAACTCTTTGAATTGTGTCGAGTAGAGCTAATAGATGTGAAAGTTGTAATTTGCAAGTAACATGGGATCATATGAAGCAATGACATTCATTGTTTATGTAAAAGAAAACACATTGTTGATTGTTTCGAGAGAGAGAATACCATAATATTAAGAAAATAGAATAAATTTGATGGAGAATTCAATTTCTTCTCAACAAAATTGTAAAAAAGGGTAGTACAAATTGAATTCATCTGTCAGTTGATATTTTTTTTAATCTTTCATCGGGTTCACTTTTTAGAGGGATTAAATTTCTTCTGGAGAGTTCACGTGGGCTATACAATTTAATTGCTTAATCCATTTGTTGCATAAAAATATTTAGGAAAAATTGGGATGTAAAGATTGTTACTTTTAGGCTAAAAATGATATTAAGTCGATCTATTGATTTAAGAAAAAATTTAAAAATCTATCCTTGAAATTGATTTTTTGAAAATTGAAATGGAACAATCGACCAAATTTATTTACCAATAAAATCGTATCGATGAATGAAACGGAAAAAAAATAAATTCAAATCCAAATAATGCCAATTGATTAAACTGGTTTAATTTTGTTGGTTTTGTATAGTTTTTTAGTTTCAATTAATACTCGAGAGAAAACTATATCTTTAGCATCTATCGGTTGAGAAATGGTTTTATTTGATTCTATAATGGTTTCGTTTGTACGAAATTAAGTTGCTATTTATAATTTCTTTAGTTAATAAAAAAACATATTATTTCAAAAACAAAAACAAAAACATATTTTCTAATTTTATAAAATAAAATAGAATAAACAACATTATTTATTAAATTCACGGAAAAAAAAAGTCATCAAAGGGCTTGAATTTTGAAAATTGGTTTAAGATATCCTCCCTCCATCAAATACTTAATTGTTAATTGTTTTTAGTGTGGTTAAATTTGTCTAAATAAATTATTATATCATTTCTTCTTCACTTATGCCATATTTTCATTTAAATTATTAATATATTTGACTTGTCGTTTAAAATATAAAATTATGGTGTTTCAAATAAGTTTCGGATATAGAATTATTTCTGGGGGAAGGGAGCCTCCCAAAGGCAAATAGAATTTAGGTGGAGGTATTAAATTTTCATCAACATGTCCACATTTTCATCAACATGTCCACATTTTTATTAATTTCTCATCTGTCTATGTGTTTAATATCAATATTAGAAGCGAACATAGCTCCGTAGTAATTGACATATATCTTCAACCTAGAGGTTGTGAGTTTGATCCTCTACCCACATCTTGTACTAAAAAAACATCGACATTAGGAGTGAAGCGACATTACATAATATTAATTCTAATAAATTTTAACTTATTTAAAAATGGTAAACTGTTTATTTGTTAATTTAAAGGTTTGTTATAAATGTTTTAATTTGTCTCTGTTACAAATATTGTACATCAACATTTGATTGATATTTTTGTCTAACATTTCTATAAAATTGAGATCCCAACATTGTCAACAATATCAAAATTTAAAATCGTACTTATAATAAATATAAAATTTTAATCTCTAAACTTTTATGTTTATGTCATTTTGATTCTTAAATTTTTAAAACTTATATTTGTCTTCAAAATTTTCATTAAAAAATTATTTCAATCTTTGTGGTCCATTAACTTATGGGTAAGTAATTCAACATAAATCTAATAAAGGCACATGATTTGTTTTGATGAATTAAAAGACTAAAATGTAAATTTAAAGACTAAAAGAAAACACTATTTAAACTTAAGTTTTCTTTTAAAATATATAAAATTGAAAAATGTAAATTGTAAATTGGATAAATGTAAAGACAATACAAAAATGTTAATACGAGACTCAAAATTTGTTGTACTTAAAAAAACATGAATGTGATCAGGGAAATCTAGGTTCTTTTCGAATATAAAATTACTGTTTTAACCTTGTGCGAGGGAGGGATAGGGCATAATTTATGAATTATGTGGAAACCTTCTTCTTTTCTTTTTTTTTTTTCTTTTTCTTAAAGGTTTATTACAAATATAAAAATATGGGCGGTGATGACATTCCTTTTTACTTTTTAAGTGCACCCACCAACAGAGTTTTTATTTTTTCTAATAATTTCTTTTTTTTTTTCCAAAGTGGAAGAGTTTTAAAAAGACAATTAAAAAAAAAGGAGAGAAATTTTCATTCGTGTATGACCTTTATTCTCTTTGGCAGCTTGCAATATTTTTAACTTGTATGTATTAGAAAGCATATTAATGACATATATTCTATTTTTTATTATTTTTTTTTCATATTTGAACTTTTTGTCTAACATGGAAACTTCCTCAAATTTTTAAAGGTATACTTTAGTTCTTACACTTAAAAAAGAAAAAATAATCATTTTAATTTTTATCTTAATTTACTATCAATAGTTTAACACACGTATGGATAATGTAACTTTAGAAAGATAATTCAGGTTTTAATCAATTAAATTATACTCATGTCGACCACAAAAATGAGATTTAAAGCTTAAATTTACGGATTTAAATCGATTCATTTTGACGAAACTAATTAGAATTGGTTTTAGGTGATTAAATATTTCCAGAGCAAAAAGAAAAATCTTTTAATCTTCATTTACATATTACATTAAATTATTTTAAATCCCTAGTAAATATGATTCATCCAGGTACCTAAACTTAGGTAGGACAATCTCTTAGTTGCAGATAAACTACACCTAGCTATGCTTGCTTTGACAAAAACAATCATATTTTTATTATAAATTTAAACTTAAAAAGAATAAGTTACATCAATTTTTTCAAAACTACCCTGCATTGAGCTTTTTTTCAATTTTAAAAAAGATTATTATTTTTTTAGTATAATAATACATGAAGGTGGAGTTCGAACATGCTACTTTAATCGAAAATACATATTTTTAATTAGTTGAACCTAACATGAGCATAACTTAATAGTAATTGATACATCTTTCTTCCCTTGAGGTTCAGGTTCAAATTTCATACTCCAATTTGACTATTTAAATTGGATTCAGATTGACATATTTGAAAGAGATTATTTGTGAATTTTGCTTCCTACGACTATTTTAACCAAAATTTATAAGCATGTTTGTAGTACAACATATTCTTTCCAAGAAAAAAGTGGAATTTATTATTTACATTCCCTCTTATCATGTAATTGGATATTTCTATAAAATTGAGGTTACAACATTTTCATTCAAGTCAAAGGTAAAAACTCGAGAATGACTTGAAGAGAACGTGGGCAGAATCCGTTTTTCTTCTTTCTTTCCAATTGGAAAATGGCTTATCAAAAGAATTGACGTCCCATGGCCAAGGCCAACCACTCGCCATGCCATGTCGCGCCATTGGCCGCATCTTTCTAGGGAGAAAATAGAGCCAAATTCGATATGGGTTCTGCCCATTCTTCATGCTCTCTCATCCCCACTTCCCCCACTAACCAATTCTGCTTCCCCCCACCGCCAATTAACTCATCAAACTTCCGCCCAAATCAGAATCAAATCAGAAATTCAATCAACTTCACGTCTCACCCTTTTCTTTCTTCTTCCTCTTCAAAAGTCTTGCCTTTGAGGTGTAGCAAGGTGGGTGAATTTGAAACCCAAGTGAAGTTCTTGAAAACCATGGCGGATATTCACGGCATCGATCAAGAGTTGCTCCAGAAGATGGTCTACGATGCTCTTGTTTGGAGCTCTCTGAATGGGCTTGTTGTTGCTGACAGGTCTGTGAAGGTAAGCGTTGATGTTCTCTGCCTTTTATTTGGTTTTTGGATGCTGAAAATGGTTTATGGGGAGATGGTTGTGGATTTTCTTTATTGCTTCAGCTGTTAGTTTGGAGAAATGGAGAATTTTAGTTTTCAGAAATGAAGGATCATATGATCGATAAAGGTGGAATATCCCTCATTGCTTGTAATGCTTTCCCCTGCTCCATCTTTTTCAAAGTAGAAATAAACTTTTCTTTGATATGTGAAAAGTTAAAGTGGAATCAAAGTCTACAGACCAAAATTACAAGCTAGAATCACACCAATTTGTGATTGTTACAAAGGGAGTATAATTACTAAACTCTTTATCAATAGAAAACCAAAAAGATATATGGAACTTTGCTAACTCAAAAACCTCCCTCCAATATTTACTTTTCGCATTGAAAAGTCCATTATTTCTTTCCAACCAATTACTCCAAAGTATCAACTTAGTGGCTTTGACCCGAAGTTTCTTTATTTATTCTTAAAATGGTGTCCGCATATCATTTGAACCAGATTTCCGTCCAAAGAATGAGGATGAACCCAAGATGATCCAGAAATTTGTGAAAGAGAAACCCAAATATTCTTAGTAAAGGAGCAATGGAAAACGAGATGGTGCATTCCTTTAGATGCATTCAAATAAAGAGAACACCGAAAATGATTCAAGACCATTTAGGGACATCTCCTTTGTAATCCTCCTATTGTATCGAGGCCATGAAGACAGAGAAAGTTGTCCAAACAAAGACATTAACCTTTCTACAGCATTTACTTTCAAAAATTGCCAAGGAAAAGTCTTTTGTTGAAATTTTATGAATCTTTATTTGATTATAGAATAGTGATTGCACCAGAACAGAACCAAAAAAGTACCAGAACTGAACCAAAAAATTAGAAGTTTCATATTCTCTCATCATTTCCAGCAAGTGTTATTTGTCCAATTAAAAATGTGGTGGAAATTTCTTAAAGTAGGAATCGCAAAGGATGTTTATAAAGTGCTCTCTGATGCTGAAGCAACACATTTTTTCTTTTCTTTTTTTTTTTTTGGAAAATTTTTAATATTCTTTCAAATGTCTCAAAATGTAGAGATCTGGAAGAGTACCAGGTGTAGGTTTGGTTCATTCTCCAATTGCCTTGTTGCCGGGGTTATTTCCTGAAACTTATTGGACGCAAGCATGTGAGTTAGCCTCCATTTTTAATGAATTAGTTGATCGAGTGAGCTTGGATGGGAAATTTCTACAAGAATCGCTATCCAGGTATTCTTTGGCTCTTTTCAAGTTAGGCACAGACACTAATTATTTTTCTTTTTTTGGTTTTTTGTTTTTATATCTACGAGTGTCTGGACCAGCTTATGCGCACCTTGACTAATTTCACGGGACAACTGCCTCACCCTACTACATTTGGTTGCCTAAGTAACTTGTAGGATATTAAATCCTAGCCACCATGATTTGAACCCAAACACTAATTATTCTCTTTCATCTAAATTCCATAAAACTTGTTTTTGAGCATTACTACTAATATTTGGTGTCGCAAAACTGAGAGCCAGTTTACACCTAAGTAATTCACAACCACTTGCACTCATCAGTGGTCTGTTGCATCTTCTTTTCAATGTAAATACCCTCTGCATTCTGTTCTTATTTACATGGTTCCTCCAATTTTCCAAAGCTACCACTAACGTATATTATCATAGTATTTGCTCTGTAGTCAACCTGCTGATTCCTACTCCTTCCTTCATCTCAACTTGTATGTGTATTACAAGTTGAGATGAAGAATGCCTTATATGAACATTTCTCCCCATTTGTGCACCATTTACAGGCGTTGCTCTGAAACCCAATGCCACATCTTAATTTTTTGCAACCTTGCAGCTGCTTTTTGGGAGGTGATATTATCAGCTTTTGAATGGTCTACCACCCTCCCAAATGATCCTTCTCTTGTCCTCTTGCTCACCCTACCTGGCCATCCATTTAAAAAGGAAAAGAAGCTTCTTTGGTTGAATTTTGTTAGGCATTTCTTTTGGAGTATTTGGCTAGAAAGGAATCAGAGAATCTTTCATGGACAGGAGCTCTCTTTTGTTATGTCTTTTGACACTATTTTTTTTTTTTGGCAATTACTTAGTACAAATGTTCTATTTTCTATAACGATAGCTTCTCTTATCTTAAATCCAATTGGAGAAGTTTTTTTTGTAACTCCCTTGAATTAAGGTCTTTTCCCTCTTTTGTAATTTCATACCATCAATAAAATTGTTTCTCATCAAGAAAACTTGTATGTCAACGTTTCTAGAACTTCTAAACATCATACTTGATGAAATATCTGAAATTGGAGAACTGACGTTTTCAGACCAGATTTCTTATGTCATGATAATTATAACATTATTGTTTTGTGTTAGCACTACTCTTGCCTGGACTTCCACATTTTATATGGTGTTTATCTCCTTTTTGGGATCTTGTTCTTTGTATTTAATTTAATTTGATGGTAGTGCCTTCTTTATTAGCATGTGCCTTTTGTGGCTGCAACGTATTCAATCTATTCATGTGGTTCGTCCCTTTTTGCTTTTTGTTTCTTTCCTTTAAATTATTTAGCTAGTTAGGATGCAGATCTATCTACCCCCACCTTTTACCTTTATGGTTATTGCTAAAATTGTTCTCAACAAAAATGATATTTTATATGTTATTCATGTTGCAGAACTAAGAAAGTAGATGATTTTACGTCTAGACTTTTGGATATTCATTCCAAGATGCTTCAGATTGACAAAAAAGAGGTAATTGTGCGCTAATTTTCATCAGTATTATGGTGTCTTGATGAATAAACTATCAAACATTTATATTGTACCTATTTTGATAAAGTTCTGGTGTTGTTTTATCACAAGTATTCAGTTAAAAATATAATTTTTTAGTGCAACCAATTCACTATGTGTGTACCATTCGTTTGTTAGGTTTTTACTGCGTGACATGGAATACTTTGAATAAGTAAAAGAGAAAAAACCTCATTACTTCAATTTTTGAAGTAAAAGAGAAAAAACCTCATTACTTCAATTTTTGTAAATGAATAACAAACCTCCATGATGGTTTGTAGTTCCAAAAGGCCTTACCTACTCAATTTCCCTATGGCATGAAAATTTTGGTAACCAAAACGGTTGTATTATTTAATTGAAGAATTGTAATGAGCTTTATTATTCAAGCAGGAAATTCGCTTGGGTTTACATCGGTCAGATTATATGCTTGATGAGAAAACTAAATTACTTCTTCAAGTAGAGCTCAACACCATATCATCTTCATTTGCTGGGCTTAGTTGTCTTGTCAGTGAACTTCATAGGTAAATACTATAGAAATTTACACTTGAGATTTCTTGTAGCTTAGCTATGTGTACACTTGGTCATCTTAATCCTCCCATTAAAATTAAACTTTTATCAGGGAAAAATGTGCATGTTGGCAGATTATATTTGGTCCTGCTAGCCAAAGGCTCTTCTTTTAAAGATTAAATTGTAAAGGAATCAAATAATTTTTAAAGGAATTAGTTAAGAGTTGGAGGAATTCCTTGGAGGGTTTAAAAATTATTGGTTTCTTTGCTATACTCTGTCCCACCTTTTGTAATTTACAAGTTTTCTTTGACCACTGCCAATTGAAGTAATTTGAGAAATTTCTTTAGTTTGGCGTGCTTTCTCCTCTTTTTATATGATAGTCAGAGCATTGTCTTTTTCGCCAAAAGTTCTCTTGATTATTTGTGACGCCTCAGAGCTTTGATTCAGCTAAAGAAAATTATTTAATTCCATGCCTGATCGTTTCCTTTGTTATTTTCTGCGGCCAGTGATATACTTAGTCAATACGGGGAAGTCCTTGGATTGGACTCTAGAAAGATTCCTAAAAACCATGCGGTTAATCAATATGCTGAGGTATTGGCCAAAGCTTGGACTGAATATAATAACGCCAGGTTAGATTTGATAACTTGACCTTATTTGCCTCCATTTCTAAAAGCCTATTTTGCAGTGCATATATATATAAATTGGGTTATTATTTTTTTGCAGTGCTGTTATTCTGATTGTAGTTCAAGCTGAGGAACGCAACATGTATGATCAGCATTGGCTTTCTTATAACTTGAGAAAAAGATATCCACTTCTATCAACATAATGAGCCCGTTAGAATGCATTATTATCTTTACAATGCCCCTGTTCTTCTGATCTACTTCAGAAAGCATGAACCAATTTTCTCAGTTTACAATATACTTCTGACCAAAACTATAGATATTTTCTTCTCAAAAAAAAAAAAAAAAAACTACAGATATTGGAAAAGAGATTTTCGATTTTGAAAATTTTGATAAATTTGATATATCTAGAGTTTGCTAAGTAAATATTCCTTAGCTTTATAACACACATAATGTCAAGACTCTCCGTAAGACACTGGCAGAAATCGATAGGGAGGGAGAACTGCAATCTGATGGAACGCTCCTTGTGTAAGTAATGTTGAATGTCAAAATTGGTTTTTTCTCTGGAATTTGGGTTACAATTTTATTTTGTAAAATAACTCTTGAGAACTTTTTCACTGCAGGGATGGCCAAGCAATTGCAGTTGTGTACTTCAGGGCTGGATATACGCCATCTGACTATCCTTCTGAATCAGTGAGAAACTGCTTCTGGCAGCTGACCTTGTTTTAGTTGGGATTAAGTTGATATATACTTTTTGGATGGGCTTTGCTGTTATTCATTTGTGTTATCTTCGAGGAAGAAACTCACTTTTTCTAGTGAATCTCAATGGTTTCATGAGATTTTAAGACACCAAGAAAAAGTAAACTCAATCACGGTATTGTTATATAGAAATCTGAACGTTTAGTTGTCTGAGGATTTAAGAGTTTCACAAGTCGAATTCCTTATCAATTTCATTAGACCTTCGTTCTCATCATACTGGCTTTGTGGAAGTATCAGGGAATTCATTGGCTGTTCTTCTAACTTAAAGTTCTTGTCTAAAAAAGTTAGGGAGAAATAAGTTGAAGTGTTGAAACTTCATAATAATAGTAAAAATGAGAGTACAAGCTCCAAAATCCTCCTCTTTGTCGTCATTTGAATCTAGGTCCTCCAAACTTAGTACACTTATAGGTCTTCTTAGATTAAGTCTTGGAATTGCATTCGTCAGAGGGTGAATGTGCTTGGAATTTGATGTCCCTTGATCTTGCTCATTAGAACTTGCAGTTGCTTATTCTCAAGCTCATCTTATTCAACTCCGCTGCTTGTATTTGTTGAACCAATGTCGTTCCATGAATTTAACACTCTGAATGTCTTTACTTGTTGCTTTCAAGAGAGGAGTTCTTCCAATTCGTTAATGGCTTGATACCTATGGTTAATGGTACCTATAGGGATTGGGAGAACAGTTACACAATTTAGAAGTAGGGAAGATTTATCTCCATTAGTATACACCTCTTTGGTAAAGTTTAAAAATAAAACCATACGGGCTTAGGCGCCCAAAATTGACAATATCATTCCCCTGTGTTAGCAAGTGGTATTGCAGCTCCTTTCTGTAGGTTTGGCCTCCTTGTCTTGGGTTGGTTTTTTGTATGTCCTTGTATATTATTTCACTTTTCTCAATTAAAGCTCAATTTCTTATTTTAAAAAAAGAAAAAATAAGTGGTATTGAAGCCATGCTTTAGATATAGCCATGTGGATGAAATCCTTGAAAAATTAACAGAATGGTAAGCCTCGTTTAATGAGTCATGTAGATGAAATCCTTGGATGGCAGAAGAAAGTGTTGAGCTCCAGTTACTTCAGCAAGGTTGAGCCATGATAGGATTCTATTGAACAAGTGACAGCCCTTTAACTCCAAGGCTCAAGCTCTTTCTCTTCTAAATCAACCTTCCAATTTTCTCAAAATCGGAAACACTTGGAAAGGGCAGTGGAGGGGCTTGATTTGGAAGGCTCTAGTACCCAAAAAAGTGAAAATTTTCACATGGTCTTCGTTGCACAGAGGCATTAATACCACAAAGAGGTCACAGCGAAGGTTCCTTACTTGGGTTTTGTCTCCTTCAGTATGCTATCTTTGTAAAGGGGGGAGGATTCTATAGATCATTTGTTACTTCATTGTCCCTTTGATTTTAAGGCTTGGTCTTTCATCTTCAAGGAGCTTGGTATTTCTATATGCTTCCCTAAGAAGGCTGACAAGTGGATGCTGGAAATCTTGGTGGGGTTGAGGTTTAAGGGCAAATCTAAGGTCCTCTGGTGTTGCACTGTGAAGGCTGCCTTGTGGTCTATTTGGATGAAAAGAAATCTTAGAGTTTTCGAGGACAAAGCTAATTCAGAGGATTCTTTTGTGGATAGTATTGTACTTGGCCGTACAAGATACAAGTTTTTGTAATTACAACCTTTCCATGATTATTAGAAATTGGAAGGCCTTTCAGTAATAGTTCTCCCAGGGAAGAGGTTCTCTCCACCCCTTGCCTTAGGCTGTCCTTTTTTGTGTAGCTGATATGATTTATTCAGTTTCTTATGCATATAACTATAAAAGTGGTGCATTTGTTAAAAAGATTGTCAAGGAAGACTTGATAGTTCTTCGTTTGATGGGAGGATTCACAAGGGTATGACAAAGTATGGTTAGAGCTAGTTATCCCACAATGATTGAGCTCTATCAGATATATGATATGTTTTGGAGAAGAGGAATTTGATCGAGTAGGAGCAAACTCTCATTATTGTAAAGAGTGAATGGTTAAATGGTTAAATGATTATGAGAGGAGGCGATCCTTTGTTTGACTTGAGGGTTGATGCTCCTTTACTTGAGAGAGGATTATTGGGGATGTGAATATAGTTCACATCGCTTAGAAGGGGGAGAGATCTTGAGGATTAAGGACAACATCTTCATTTGCCTGCGGTTGTTTGGGTGGATTCTAAATGTAAAATTATTCGGGCTTAAGCCACAAAATGGATAGTATCTTAGTTTTTTGAGATACAGAGAGTTTACTTGTTCTAACTCCTAAACAATGTCACCCTGAGGTTACTAGGTAAGAAAAAACTCAGGAAGTTTCTTTGATTCAAACTCTTACAAGCTTGAGTTGTTTAAATAGGCATTGTATTTATCAACAGTAACCCATTAACCCCTGGTAATTTTAAAGTAATCATAAACTATACATATGTACAGATACCTACTGCAGTAAATTAAACAGTAATGAGTAACCCACTTGCTCGTAAACTGTACATCTGATAGTTGTTTTTATGGAGTTCTATTTATTTCAATTCCAAGAAATGGAAGTCTCTCTCTTAATGTTGTTTAACCTCACTTGTCAATTGTTCAAGTTCACTTTTTCTCGAGTAAAGCTTTGGGGATATTTACTCATTCAAATGGTAAAAATTTCAGGAATGGAGATCAAGGTTACTTATGGAGCAGTCATCTGCAATCAAATGTCCATCGATATCTTATCATTTAGCAGGCACCAAGAAAATTCAACAGGAGCTTGCAAAACCAAATGTACTTGAAAGGTATTAATTGCTTTTGCATCTTCAGTCATCATCTTCCCAGCAACCCCATTTGGCATCAATGATGGAAGAGATAAGACCCTTTCTTGAACCAATTGATTTGGATATATTAGACAAATGGTTAATTTCGTCTATAAACTTTTTACATGAAAGTTCAAAAGATTCTGAAAAAAAAAAATTGTTATGCTCAATATTTTAAGTTTCATAGGTACATGTCGTAACCAGCGCAAGGTGCACCTCAAGGCGACAAGCCCTTTGGTCGCTTACAGCGAGAGGCGAGCAAAAGGCGAGGCTTGAGTGAAACAAAGCGCACCTTAATAAATAACTAAGAATGATATGTATAGAGCATAAATTTATATTGTGAACATAGTGATCAAAACTATAAAAGATCAATACTAAAATAGTGAATTTATCAAAATGTTAAAAAGAAACATAAAATAACAAAATTCTATTAGTTTCCAACAAACAACATTAAGAAATAAGTGCAAAAGTAAATGTAAGACATCAAAGATCATCATCCTCTAAATCTAAAGCCCCATCTTCATCTTGGACATTCTTCTCTCAGTTTCCATGTCCAATTCTAATTCTTCTTTGTCAATGTCATCATCAGTCATCACTAACCACCTGTATAGTTGATTTTATAGCTCTAGAAGTTGTGACAGTAGTAGATGACTTTGCTTTAGATCTTGATCTTGTAGATCTAGTTTGCCTTAGGGCTCTCTAACACCCCTAGACTCGGCTATCCCCATGTGAGGTCATCATCATCAAAACCAACTCATTATCATCTTCGCTATTTTCTTCTTCGAGTCTTCCAACCAACCATTCATTACTTTTATCAATATGATTCAAAGAAATTGGATCAAGTTTGTCCTTTAGACTATACGTTCTTTTAAGTGCTTGGTTATATTTTACATAAACTAAGTCATTAAGATGCTTTTACTCTAACCCATTCGTCTTCGTTTTTGTAACCCTCTGGCCTTGTGGGGATATCTTATCTCCCCTTTTTGTATGGTTTTTCACCAATTATTTGTTTCCGTATAAAGGAAAAAACTTAGTTCCTATCCCAAATATTAACTATCTTGAGGCTGATGTCCACCAAAGGCAAAGATACCACCTTCTACTTTGTAAGATTGCCGTAAACTTCTTTATCTGTTTGTTGCCATAACAGATTCCAAATGGGTTTTTCTGGCACCTTAGTGAAGCCAACTGGAGTGCAAAAATGATTAATCTTCAAACCAGACACTGACTCAAAGATAGTGATACTTCTGTAGAAGTTTTCAATCTCGTGAGTGTCCTGAGCAACGAAAGAGTATGCTGTCATATGTGAATTGTAGATGATTAAGTTGGATTCAATCTTTGTTCACAAGAAAATTCTTAATCTTCCTCATCTGGTAAACTTTATCAAGTAACCTGATAAAGGAATCACCAACCAGCACAAAAAGAAGGGGATAGAGGATTCCCGCCTCAAACCTCTCTCAGCTTTAAACCTCCCCTTGGGCCTGCCATTTAGAAAGATAGGGAAGGAAAGCTGAGAAATCACAACTGAAAATCCACATTCTATTCTCCACTCTCAAGCCTTCTTTTGAAGGATGGTCTTTTTCTTTTGAAGAATGCTAGAAAGCTTCAATGTACCATTTCATAGGTCTCATGTGGATCAAGTTAATGACATCATCATCTTCTTTCTTCCCTTTTTCTCCAATCCTTCATAAATTTATTAGCTACCAAGACATCTAGAATTTCCTATTATGCACAAAAGCTGATTGATTGATGATGAATTGACGATTCTGCAAAAGAGAGCCTCTACTGTTCTTTTCTTCTAAAACCCCTGAAATGATTTTGTAAAGGCTAGAAACTAAACTAATATGTGTGGAAATGTGTACTAGCTTTTTGAGCAGAAAGTGTATGGCCAGCATACACATGGGTGAAGTCGTTCTGAGGAACTTTTGGAACAACTTCAATAAGTAAAGATAATAAAGGCAAGATGATAATTGAATATTAACCAAAAAAAAAGCGAACATCAAGATGTTGTAGTTTCTTTGAATTAGCTCGTGAACTACTTTCCAAAGTTTTATCTGCTTCATCCTATTTAGACAAATTGTTGAGAAACTAAAGCAGCTGAAGCTTAATATTCTTTTTCCAGATTAAGGTGTTCACGGTAGGAGCATTTAAATGCTTGTTATGGGTTTTATCTTCCTGGGATTTGATAACTTATCTAGGAAATAGATTTTCTTATTGCAATTTCTATTTGCAGCTGAAATTTTAAGCCCCTACTCCAGGTTTGTAGACAGTAAAGAGGATATTGCAAAGATAAGGAAATGCTTTGCAGGGTTGTGGAGTTTAGATGACACAGATACAGTTAAAAAAGCCATCGAAACACCAGACCTATTCGTTATGAAGCCACAAAGAGAAGGCGGAGGTCTGTTCCATTACCTTAATTTTTTCAATGTAAATTTGCATAATTCTGTGTTCTTGACAATGAAAAATCCATTAACAAAGAAGTCATTAATCTAATTCAGGGAACAACATCTATGGTGATGATGTGAGGAAAGCCCTTCTAAGATTGCAGAAGGAAGGGAATGAAGAAGATGCTGCGTACATTCTTATGCAGAGGATATTCCCATCTGTTTTCCCGACGATTTTTGTGCGAGACGGGATCTATCATAAGGACCATGCAATTTCAGAGCTTGGTATATTCGGGGCTTACTTAAGGTATGCAACTCTCATTCGTACAACTTCTCTAATGCTAAATACCTGCTTTTTATGGTGGATGAAGAAAGGAGAAGGGAAAATAAAAACTATCGAAGAGAG